AGCTTGAGCAGAAAAAGCAAATCACGGTAAAATGTACACACTGTATGGTTGAGCGGAAAGCAAGGGAATAAAAGCCCAGAACTGAGGGCTGTTCCTTCAGCCCAGAGGCCACAGGGTCAGTCACAGAAAGGCAGTCGGACTCACTCTTGAGCTGGTGGCGGTTGTATGGTGTCGTGTTCTTTCTAACGTGTGTGTTAGGTATTTGAAGAGGCGCTCACTGTGTGCTAAGCACTTAGTCTGCCTTCCTGTCCCCTTCAGCGGGCAGCACTCGGAGCATATGTGGTGCAGGGCTGGGCACCATCAGCTGCGGCCCCAGCAGATCCCTGTGGGTGCGGGGCGGGCGCCCATCCGGGCACTGACGCCTTCCGCCTCCCCACAGGTTCTGAAGTCCACGGGGGACGTGTCCGGAGGCCGGGCCCTGTATGAGGGGTACGCGGCGGTCACCGACGCCCCCCCCGAGTGCTTCCTCACCCTCAGGGACACGGTGCTGCTCCGCAAGGAATCCCGGAAGCTCATCGTCCAGCCCAACACCCGCCTCGAAGGTAACGCCTCCTGGGCCTCCTCTGGTGGGGGCCACGCGGCCCTAGGGGAGCACAGAGGGGGCCTGTGAGAGGCCAGGGGCTCAGGGAGGGCTCTCTGGGGTCGCTTCTGCCTGGCTCCCTGCCACAATCCTCATGCCAGAACTCAGGCCAAAACCTCCCAAAACCTCGGCGTCTACCATCACCCCCATCACTACCACTGTCCGTGGCCCTGCTGATTATAAGATGGCCGCAGAAGGTTTGAGAAAGGCCAGCAGAGCCAGGGCTAGTGGGACATACAGAGCCCAGGGGGGCCTGGCATGGTACCAGAGAGTCAGACCTCGCCCTGACCTGAGTCACATCGGGCGGTGAGTGGGGACCCCGCGGGCCGAGTGGAACCCGGGGGGGCGGTGGGACCCAGCGGAGCCAGGACAGAGATCCCTTTACCTTCTCAAGTGATGACCCCTTCCCAGGAGCCTGGCCCTGTGTGCATCCACTTGGATCTTTTGAATTCAAAGCCCTTGGGGATCCCAGCACCTGCTGGTTCACCTTCCCTCAGCCCTTGATGCGTCTACCCTGACATCTGGCTCCCAAGGCACCGATGAGGTCACGGCAGGAGCTTCGGAACTGCTCCGTGACCTTGTCTCAGCACCTGGCAGCTCTGCGCTTGGGTGTCTTTGTTCAGAAAGCCAGGCTTGATGTGTGCTTACGTTAGAGTGAGCCTGAATTAAGTACTTCCTTCAAGTTCTAAGTGCTCTCTGTGGACCAACCCTTTAAATCCTCATAATAATCCAATGAGGTAGATATTTTTATTACCCCATTTTACAGATAAGGCAATTGAGGCACAGAGAGTAAATTACTCAAGGGCTCATAGCTCTCTATTGGAAGAGCCAGGAGTGAATATAGACGCGTTTCCTCTTCACATCCTGGGTGGGCGTGAGGATTGAAGTCAGTAATTCCCTCCGCCTGCTGAGGAAGAAGCATTTAAGAGGCTTATCCTAAACTCTTTCCACTCCAGAGGCTCCATGGCCCTTTGCTGACCTCAGCGACCCTCTTGCCTGGTTCACTGCCCTCCGGGCACATGGGCCTCCAACCCCCTGAGCTTGCTCTGTTCCTCTCTTTTTTTTTTTTTTTTTTTAATAAATTTTATTGATTTTGTACAGAGAGGAAGAGAGAGAGATAGAGAGTTAGAAACATCGATGAGAGAGAGTCATTGATCAGCTGCCTCTTGCACACCCCCCCACCAGGGATATGCCCGCAACCAAGGTACATGCCCTTGACCAGAATCGAACCCAGGTCCCCCCTTCAGTCCCCAAGCCAACGCTCTATCCATTGAGCCAAACCGGTCTCAGCTGCTCCTCTAACTCTTGCACTCGCTGTTCCTTCTGCGTGGCCAGTCCTCTCCCAGGCCTCTGGCTGGCTGGCTCTTGTCATCTGGGGCTCAGTCTAATGGCATCTCCTGGGAGAGGCTGTCTCTGACCCCTCCGTCTAAAGCAACCCCTTTCGTCCCTCTTGGCTTTCTCTTCTTCATGCTCCCGTCACTCTGCCATCTTCCTGTCTGCCTCATCTCTATGACGCAGAAGCAGCGTGTTCCCTGCACCCAGCATGGGACCTGGCACACTGAAGCTGCTCAGTGCCTGTCAAATAAGCGAATGAATGAATGAATGAATAACGAATATGAATCATACGAGGCCTACATTAAGTGCTCGTTACATGGACAATATCGTCATCACTTTGATTGTTCCGCCCTGCAAGGGCCATTGGGGATCAAGAGGTGAATGGGACCCAGGACCTCGCCTTAAGTAGCTCACAGCCCATTAGGGAAGCCTGCGTGAGTGCCCAGGAGACGCAGACAGTGGTTTGAACAGGTGAAGAAAAGATCAAGTTCACTTTCAGGGGAGTCAGGGAAGGTTCTGGGGAGGAAGTGGTGATTACAGGAGGCCGAAGGCCAGGTTGGATTTTCTTTTTGTTTATTTTTTATTTTTTTGTTTGGATTTTCAAAGTTAGTGTTGGTAGTGATGATGCTAGCTAACTTCCTAGGACTTTTATTTATTTATTATTATTTTTTAAAAAATATATCTTATTGATTTTTTACAGAGAGGAAGGGAGAGAGATAGAGAGCTAGAAACGTCGATGAGAGAGAAACATCAACCAGCTGCCTCTTGCATACCCCCTACCGGGGATGTGCCCGCAACCAATGTACATGCCCTTGACCGGAATCGAACCTGGGACCTTTCAGTCCGCAGACCGACGCTTTATCACTGAGCCAAACCAGTTTCGGCCTTCCTAGGACTTTTATATGCCAGGCCCTGGGTAAAAACTTCCCATGGATTAAGTCCCCACTTTTCAGCTGCAAACTGAGACACAGAGGGACTGTATGTGCCTGAGGTCACACAACTAGTGGTGGCAGAACCAGAATTTGAACTTGGGCCATTTGAACCCAGAGCCTGTGCTCTTAGCTCTGTGCAGGGCACATTGCCACAGAGCACAACAAGGCACGGTGGGGGGAAGTGTGTTAGGGGGAACTGCCTCCCTTAACATGAGTAAGTAGGTCAGAGATAACGCTGCTGGTGGTAGCTAGCACTTGTGGACCACTCACTTGATGCATTATTATATGTAATCACTACAGCTCCTTGAGGGACAAGGTACTGTGCTCACCCCCACTTCACAGATGAGGAAACTGGGGCTTAGAGGTTGAGAAGCTTGTCTGAGGTCCCACAGTGGGCAGAGGTTAAGCAGTTGCTGGACTGTAAGCTCCTGGAGGCCAAGGACAGTATCTGTGTATCCTGGTACGGCACCTGGCATCCATCTTTTATTAATCGAATGGATGAATACAGCAGTTCATTAAGTCCTCGCCCTCTAATATTTCCTTCCTCGTAGGATTATTGTAAGGATGAATAGATAAACCTAAAACACTGGGCACAGTTTTTGGCACACGGCAGGAGCTCAGGAAGAACTAGCCACTGATGATGATGGTGATGATGATGATGATGATGACGATGGTGGCGATGACAATTCTGCTTCCCTATTAAGACTTTCTCTGCTGCTGTTTTCTCTCCGTCTCCTCCCCAGGCTCAGAAGTGCAGCTTCTTGAGTACGAGGCCTCGGCTGCTGGTCTCATCCGGTCCTTCTCCGAGCGCTTCCCCGAGGATGGGCCCGAGTTGGAGGAGGTCCTCACGCAGCTGGCCACCGCTGATGCCCGCTTCTGGAAGGCTCCATCTGGCCAGGCGTAACGCAGATTATTTGTACGGCCCCTCCCCCGCGCCATCCAACCAAGGTTGCAGGTGGCCCCTTTTTTAGGTGCACATCCAGGGGGCCAAGGGGGGGCCGGAGCTCAGGCCGTGGTGCTACCTCAGCTGAGGGTGGTGACATTAACCCCTTCCGTGCATCAGCACTTTCCACTTTACCAACTACTTCCCTGTGGTAATCTCATTTGATCTGTGCTGCCCTCTGTGGGCCAGGCGAGGCCGGGCAGGGCGCCTTATCCTGTTTCCCACACGAGGAAACGGAAGTTTTGAGAAGTGACCCAGCTAGAGCCTGCAGGACTCAAAACCTCTCCCTGTCCAGTGCTCTTCATGTATTACTTTTATAACCAGAAAAATAAATATTAGAAATAAATAAACATTGTGGTCTGAGCCAATTGCTCCTTGTCTCTGCTTCACTTTTCTTCTGCTCCTCGCAGGGTAGTGGGTCCAGGGCTGGGGAGGGGGCAGGAGGGTCATGTTCAGGCTTCCATCCCCTGAGGATATATGCACGCAGTGACAGCATTGTGCATAGCACCATTTCTGCAGTCCTCCTGTGGCATTTCTTATATTTTGAAATATTCTGGGAGTCTAAGCCGGGACTGGTTTGGCTCAGTGGATAGAGCATCGGCTTGGTGACTGAAGGGCCCCGGCTTCGATTCCGGTCAAGGGCATGTACCTTGGTTGCGGGCATATCCCCAGTAGGGGGCTTGCAAGAGGCAGCTGATCTATGACTCTCTCATTGATGTTTCTAACTTTCTATCTCCCTTCCTCTCTGTATAAAAGTCAGTAAAATATATTTAAAAAAAATATTCTGGGAGTCTAAAAACTAGAAACCTGCAACTTCAGTCAGAATCCCAGGGTTTAATCTCTTGAGCCTTGTGTTTTGTTTTCTGAGCCTTGATCTTGAGAAGAAAGGACGTGGCCCTTTTCAGCTTGAAGGGACCGGTTACTTTTGCTCAGAATCACTGGAAGGACTTCTCTCCAGGCTGGAAGCCATAGCGCCTGCCGCTCACCCAGCGGTGACAGGGCCCAGATGCCGCGGCCGGGAAGGAGCAGAGGGAGAGAAACCCTATGAGCCGGGAAGGAGCAGAAGTAGGTAGATCCTATGAGCCGGGGTGAGGGCTTGCGCTTTGGCCGCCAGCAGCCCCGCCAGGCAGCCAGCACGCCCCGCGGGGCCGCTCAGGCTCGGGCGGAACGTTGCGCGGCCGGAACGTTTGTGCGCGAGCTTCCCGGAGCGCCGGGCTGTGGCACGCGGAGGCTTCCGGAGCCGGTTGCCAGGGCGACGCCTGCGAAGATGGCCGCTGCGCCTCCGTCGGATTTCAATGGCGGTAAAGTGGAGAGGTGAGGGCCCCAGTCCTTTCGGCCTCTTTTCCTACAGACGTGAAGAGGGGGCGCCGGGACCTGGCTCCCGAGGTTCTGGGACAGCTAGGGAAACTGAGGCCCAAATGGGGTCTCCCTCTCTCTCTCTCAGGGGCGGAGCCTGGGCTGGGACCCCCAGTTCCGGGCTCCCCCACACCTCGCTCCCAGAGACCAGCTCCCGCCCTGGGCACTCCCCCCTCCCTCTCCCAGCAGTGAGGCCGGCTCCAAATGGCTGGACGCGCACTACGACCCCCTGGCCAGCATCCACACCTTCTCCGCCTGCCTGGGTGAGTCTGGGCCCCGGGCCCCGGGCCCCGGGCCCCGGGAGGTGAGCTGTCAGCACCGGTTCTGCAGCGAAGCCTCCGGGCGGACACCGGCTGATGGCTCCCCTGTGTTTTCCAGCGCTGGCAGACCTGCACGGGGACGGCGAGTACAAGGTAAGGCACCCCCCAGCAGGAGAACTGTGTGTGTGTGTGTGTGTGTGTGTGTGAGCGTGTGTGTGAGCGTGTGTGTGTGAGCGTGTGTGTGTGTGTGAGTGTGTGTTTGAGTGTGTGTGTGTGTGTGTGTGAGTGTGTGTGTGTGTGTGTGTGAGTGTGTGAGCGTGTGTGTGTGAGCGTGTGTGTGTGTGAGTGTGTGTGTGTGTGTGTGAGTGTGAGTGTGTGTGTGTGTGTGTGTGTGTGTGTGTGTGTGTTTGCGTGAGATACCAGAATTGACATGTCCCCTTGGCTCCAAAGCAGCTCAGCACAGTGTGGGCGGAATTCGTGAGTACTCTGAAACAGCACATTTAGTGTTAAATTTTATCTCTATGTGGAAGGTGAAGAGACTCCATGGTTTCCTAATACAGAATGCTGCTGGGATTTTACTAAGACAAAGCCTCTTAATTGTGTTAATTCTTTGCTGGAAGGGCAGGCGCCTCCCTTGGCTGGATGCGAGGGGGTAGGATCTGGAGGGGAGTAGAAGGGAATTGAAGTGACTTTTGTGATTATCAAAAGGACATACCCTGTTTCCCCGAAAATAAGACATTGTCTTATATTAATTTTTGCTCCCAAAGATGTGCTAGATCTTATTTTCAGGGGATGTCTTATTTTTCCATGAAGAAGAATATGGTACACATTTATTGTTAAATGAAAATAAAGGAGATTTATTACCTGTATACGGTACGGTAGTACAGTAGTTGTCAACACAAACCAGACAAACTGAGAATCCTACAGTATCAAGAATTTACTCATTTATTCAATGACAATCATGTCATCATCTCCTGGAAAATCATCATAACAATCCAATTCCTGAATTTCCTGGTGAATTTCTTGTGACTCCATTTCTTTCAGAATCAGTGGACCAAATCTCTCATGTTTAGCCTAGGGGGGGGCCTTAATTTCGGAGGATGCCTTATATTTCACTCAGAAGGAAACCTGATTAGCCATGAGCTGATAATTGTTGAAGCTGGATGATGGGTTCATTATATGAATCTGTCTACTTTTATCTATGACTGAAATTTTTCCATAATACAAAGGTTGAGATTTAATTTTAAACATAAAGAGAGCCCATTGGTCCATGAACCAAGACACCTGGGTTATGGGCTTGATGCTCAGTAGGGAGCGTGCGGTAGGCAGCCAATCAATGATTCCTTAGCTCTGTTCCCATTTGGAAGTCAGAAGCCCAGACAAGAGTTTCCAGTGCCTCACTGACCTCGGCCACTGTGCCAGGGTCTAGAATGCTGCCTGGCAGGGAGCAGGCCCTGAAATATTTGCTGAATGAATAATGAAAACATCAGCTGCCACCTACTCCTCACTAGGACTCACCGCGTTCTGTGATTCATGATCTCATTGGATTTTCACTGCAGGTGTCATGAAATTGATATTCCTATTTTGCTGGTGGGGAAACAGGCACAGGAAGTTTAGGCTCAGCTGGTCTCTGAGAGTGAGGTCCCAAGGTCACAGACCTTGCAAGCCCTATCGCAAAGCATTTGCTGTTGGGAGGGAGTGAATGAATACGCACCAGCAAAAAGACTGAGCCCAAGAAGAGGGTTAGCGGCAAGGTCTGTAGACTCTGAGCCTGGGGTAAGCCAGCCTCTCTTCACAGCTGGTGGTGGGGGACCTCGGCCCGGGTGGGCAGCAGCCCCGCCTGAAGGTGCTCAAAGGACCCAGAGTGCTGACTGAAAGCCCTCTCTCCGAGCTGCCGGCCGCTGCTGTCACCTTCCTCAAGGACCACCACGAGCCCCGAACGCCAGCACTGGCGCTCGCTTCGGGCCCCTGTGTGTATGTGTACAAGAACCTGAGGCCCTACTTCAAGTTCAGCCTGCCCCCGCTGCCTGTGAACCCCCTGGAAGAAGATCTTTGGGACCAAGCCAAAGAGGTAAGGTGTGTGGGTGGGAACAAGAAGGCAAAGATGGCCGCCACTGGGGCCTCCTCCTTCTCTGCGGCTCTGGAGTGCACAGGCCTTACCTTCTGCCTGTGCTGTTACAGGACCGGATCGACCCCTTGACCCTGAAGGAGATGCTGGAAGGCATCCGGTGAGGGCCCCCTCCCCTTCACTCGCCTCCCACCCTGCCCTCCGACTCTTTCACCCAGAGCTCTCGGTCTGACCCAGGGCTCTGCTCCTCAGCTAACCCGCCCCGACTGCCCTTCTCTTCCAGGGAGAAGGCAGAGGTGCCTCTGTCTGTGCAGTCGCTCAGGTGAGGGCCTCGGAGGGCCTGGGCTCTGGGAGCTCCCAGGGGAAGGGAGTGGCTGAGGGGCCTTGGAGGACAGCCAGGCCCAGGGCTGCGTGCTCTCCAGGTTTCTGCAGCTGGAGCTGAGTGAAATGGAGGCATTTGTGAACCAGCACAAGTCCAAGGCCATCAAACGCCAGGTAATGCCCCTTGTCCTCATTTCCCCATTAAAAATACGGATAATTTTTTAAAAAACCACCTAACATCAGAGCTAAATCCTACATCCAGACCTGACTAGTTTCACTTAGCGGTTTCCCTTCCAATCCTGCCCCATAGGTATGGCCATGCAGCTGCAGGGCCTTCCCCATTTCCGGTTAAGTGACAGCTGTGGCTTGATCTGTAGCTCTGTAACTTTATAGAGCTTTCATTGTCTGGAGGGTAAAGGTACTATATTCTCAGAGGAAATTTGGAAAATAAAAGTATAAAGGAGAAATAGAAATGACAACAATCTCACTACCTGAGGTACTGGCTCTTCTTGTGAATTTGGTACATTTCCTTCACAAATACACTTTTACATCCTGCTTCCCTTGAGTAACAACATATTTGGGGCATTAAAGAATTTAAAAATGGTTTTAGCGGCCCCTGGAATATTTAATTGATTTCTCATTATGTCCTTCTTTGTTTATATAACTAGTCACATGCAAGTCATCTGACAAAACAATGTGTCCCTTTTATTCACTTCATAGGTAGTTTTTTTGTTAGTTACACTTCTAATTGCTTTATTGATGAACCTATTCTCTGATGAACTCTATTGGTTCCTGACCTCGGGGCTGACCCTTAGTCTGGGGACAGACTCCCGGAGCTGTGCTTCGTGTTTTAGAAAGCCTCCTGGGAGCCATGGGGTCCCTTGAGCCAAGCATGTTGATGAACACAGTTTTCAGCCGTTGGCTGGTCTTAGACCAGCTCTGTGAGAAGCATGTTCTCCCTGCTGACCAGCAGCTAGATCCACAGTTGTCACCATCTTTGAGTATTTCTAAAATCAGGAGGTGGATTGTTGCTCAAAGATGCAGTTTGGGGGCAGAGGGAAATCTTTCTAAGTGTGTCATGGTTACCTGATTGGGACACTGAGTTCCATACTTCTGTAACCTGTCTCCTTCCCTCAGCTTTTAATCTTAAAGATGATCACTCAATGAGCAGCTTTATTCAGGGAAACATTTGGTTCTGCTAAAGTATCTCCACAGGAGAAACCCCTAAAGGGGGTCATCCCCTTCTCTCTTGTTTTCTCTCCGATCACAATTACAAAAGGAACAGGTGCCCACTGCAGAGATTACAGAAAAGCCCGCTGCAGAGGTTAAATGGCAGCGGGAGCTTGTTGTCCAGAGACAACCAGTGTTCGTATTTAAGGGTTTAGCCTTTCAGCGTGTTTTTCTATTCAGACATTTTTAAAAACTGAGATTATGTAACTTTTTACCTATTTTTTTTCCTCTTAATACATTAGAAGTGCTCTTCCTATCTTTGAATCGTCTTTTAAAATGTGATTTCTTAAATGTCTGCATGGCTTAGGATCATAGGGATAGTTCATAATAGACAATCTTTTGTTAGAAAGTTAGGTTTGTTGCAGCAAACACATTTGTACATAAATCTTTAGCCTCTCTGATCCTCTTCCTCCTGTTTTACCCTCTTTCTTCCCTCCTGTGGTGTCTTGGGGGTGTGGGGGGATGGTGTGTGGGGACCCCGGGTGACCCCTGTGTCCTCCTGCAGACAGTCATCACCACCATGACCACCTTAAAGAAGAACCTGGCTGACGAGGATGCTGTGTCGTGCTTGGTGCTGGGCACCGAGAACAGGGAACTGCTGGTGCTGGACCCCGAGGCCTTCACCACTCTGGCCACGGTCAGTGTGGCCCGACCGGCTCCCTGCAGCCCAGGCCCAGGCTGCGTGCCCTCCCTCTGTCCCCGCCTCTCCTGCTCCCCGGGCCCTCCCTCTGTCCCCGCCTCTCCTGCTCCCCAGGCCCTCCCTCTGTCCCCGCCTCTCCCGCTCCCAGCTCCCTGCGGCCTAGGCTGTGTGCCCTCCCTCTGTCCCCGCCTCTCCTGCTCCCAGTTCCTGTAATGCATGCTCCTTTTAGGAAAATTATAAAATATAGATAAGCATAAAGAAAAATATATAAGGAAATCCCACCACTCGCAGACATTTACTATTAAAATTTCAACAAATGTCTTTCCTGACATTTCATATTTAGACATAGATATATAACTATATACATAACTATATGTAAATATATATATTTTTTGTAAAAAAATATATACATATATATAATTATGTACATAATTATATATATATGTGTATATATATATATTATTTTTTACAAAAACGGCCTGTGGTACAGGATCCCATAACTTGCTCTTTTCCCATAGCAGTGGCTCATCAGTGTCTTTCCACATCTATATAAAACCACATTCTCCTTTTCAAAGGCCTCCCAGTATCCGTTTTATAGCTTTACAACATTTATTTAAAGTTTTCACTATTAACAGCACTGCAGCAGGCATTCTGCCCAAATGTCTCTGCATGCCTGTCTACATGTCCCCTTAGGATGCACTCCTAGAAGCGGCATAGTTTAGTCGAAGGCTTGTGCTGCATGTTGCTCAGTTTGCCTCCAGAAAAATTGTACAAGTTAGAACTGACCAGTGGGGAAGCTGGGACTTCAGATACAGGGCAGCGGGTCCTTCAGGTCGGGAAGGACGGGGCTCGGAGAAACGGGACGTTTGAGCCTCCTGTCCGCAGATGAAGCTGCCCAGCGTGCCCGCCTTCCTGGAGGTGTCCGGCCAGTTCGACGTGGAGTTCCGGCTTGCGGCGGCCTGCCGCAACGGGAACGTCTACATCCTGAGAAGGTACCACTCAGGTCTCTGGGCCGGAAAGAACAGCTCAGGTACCGGGCGGTGTCAGCTTTGCAGGACGAGCAGGGACTTGGGCTTGAGTTTGGGAATGGAAGGAGCTGAGCTGAGCCCAGGAGCACGGGCGTATCCGGAGGCTCGTGGGATGGGGGCTGGCGAAGGGGGAGACCGGCTGGGTGGCTGAGGCACGCACACAATGCAGTCAGAAATTGGAAGAAATAAAAATGGTCCCTCATATTTGTTAGGTTGTTTTATAGGTATGTGACACTTCAGTGTGGTAGTTTGATATTCCTACAGCATTCGTTTTTTTAATTGAGAGATGTTTTTGAGCACCTACTTAAGCATTATATAAGGCACATGTGTCAAACACAAGGCCCGCGGGCCAAATCTGTCCTGCCAGGCCTTGCAATGTGGCCCGCACCGCGCTGTCATCACTGCACTCCGCTGCGTTTCCATCACAATGACAGTTTATGACGGTTCAGTAAACCATTCGGCCCGTGATTTAGGCTGGATTTTAGATTTTGGCCCCTTCTCTGATTGAGTTCGACACCCCTAATATAAGGTATTGATGAACAAAATGAACATATTTTCTGCCCTTATGGGAAGACAGATATTAAAGTCAACAAACCACGGGATAAACAATGGGGTCAAGGTGATCAGCAAACGCCTGTCCGTGGGAATGACTTAAAGGGGTAGAAGGGGCCAGTTTTCCCCAAGTTCAGAAAGAGTGTGTGGGCGGAGAGCCTGAGCAAACTGAGGTGGGGAAGACGGGCATGTGCTGCCCAGCGTGGCGGGCACGGAGGCGGTGGGTGAAACGACACGAAGGCCAGGTTGGCTCATGCCGGACCCTTAGGATGTGGTCACAATTTTGGATTTTACCTGAGTCTAGTGGGAAGCTGCTACTGGATTTTACAGAATGGCACGACCCATTCACATATTTGAAAGATTACTGGGTGGAAGGTAGGTTGGCAGGAGGCCCAGGGACCGGTGGGAGAGCCTCAGCTGGGACATGACGTTGGCCCAGACTCGGTGATGACGGACATGGGCCATAGCCCGTGATTGGGAGGCAGGAACTACCCCTACTTTCTGGGAAGAGAAACAGCCCTAGCTGGGTTGGCTCAGTGGATAGTGTCAGCTTGTGGACTAAGAGTCTCAGGTTCAATTCCAGTCAAGGGCACATACCCAGGGTTCTGGGCTTGATCCCCGGTAGGGGGCGTGGGGAAGGCAGCTGATCAGTGATTCTCTCTCATCGTTGATGTTTCTATCTCTTCCTCTCTGGAATCAATGACAATATATTTTAAAGAGAGAGAGAGAAACAGACTCAGAGGCCAGGACATGGAAGCTGTGCAATTACACACTAACTCCGTGCTGTTCCGATAAATTATTAAAGTGCTGAAGTCCACTCGCATACACCTGGCTCCACTCACTGTAAACAGTCAGCAGCCAGGTTATCACAGGTCACTGCAGTGAAGGTAGGAGGGAGGCCAAGGAGGAGGACACGCATCATGCTCCTCAGGGTCACACAGCTGTTAGGAGGTGCAGGTGGAAGGAATACCATGGCCTCTGCTGTGGGCCGAGGTTCCTTCCAGGACAGTCTGTGGGGCTCAGAAGGGAGGGAGAGAGGGTGTCTCTGGCTGGGAGAGTCTCTTCACTCCACAGGGACTCCAAGTGCCCCAAGTACTGCATCGAGCTGAGTGCCCAGCCTGTGGGGCTTGTCCGGGTCCACAAGGTCCTGGTGGTGGGCAGCAACCAAGACAGCCTGCATGGCTTCACCCACAAGGTATGGCCCTGGGCGAGCACCCGCCCCACCCCATCTCTCCACACATGTCTCCCAGATCCCCCTTCCCGGCACTTTCAGCCATCCCCCTCTCCATCCCAACCCTAAGCCCCGCAACCCCCTGGCTGTCCCTCCAGGGTAAGAGGCTGTGGACGGTGCAGATGCCTGCGGCCATCCTGACCATGAACCTCCTGGAGCAGCATTCCCGGGGCCTGCAGGCCGTCATGGCTGGGCTAGCCAATGGCGAGGTCCGCATTTACCAGGACAAGACCCTGCTCAACGTCATCCGCACCCCGGTGAGCCCTGCTCCTGGCCTCACTCTCACCTGGAGGGCAGATTCCGCTCCACCCACCACCCTGGGCTTCTAATGCATTGCAAACATTTGTCCAGAAACCTTTGTTGAGCACTTCATAACACAACTCGTTGTACTGAGGGGCATAAAGCAAGGCTAAACCCTTGCCTTCAGGGAGCTTAATGTCCAAGGTGACAGCCAGCCGAGACACAGCTGATTCGAATAGAAGGCAGACAGAAGCCAAGTGCTGAAAAGCAGAGCGGGCTGAGTGTCGGTGTAGGTAAATGGGGATGGAACTCAGGGACACTTGGTACTGCAAGTGACAGTTCTACTGGGCTTCAAAGCAGCTTGCCAAGAGGGTAAACGGAGGAACATTCCAGACAGAACAGCATGAAAAAAGGATGAGACGCACGAGTGCTCTTGATTAGGGAATCCAGGTAGTTTGGACCAGAGTTTTTCAATCATTAAGTTGTGAATCATTAAATCAAGTTAATGGGTCACCACCTGCAACAGAAAATTCAGTGTGAATCACAAGTGAAACGTATGTGTGTATGGATGTGTCAGGGGTCCTATGCCACAAAATAAAATTTGAGGGCAGGTGCTGTGTGGGATGGGAGAAGGGAGAGTAAAGAATTGACAGGAGAGGTGGGCTAGAGGCACATGGGAAGGGGGGCAGGGAGAACAGAGCCATCGGAGGTTTTTTGGAAGAATCCACGTGATCGTGTTGGTGTTGAGAGGCAGCTGTGAGGACAGAGGGAGGAAGACCGGTCTCGGAAGCTTCTTAGGAAGCCGCCCCCACAAGCCCAGGATGCTGAGTCTGGAACTGTGGCCGTGCAGAGGCAGCACTGCCCAGGCCTCGCCTCACATCTCCCCTGGGGTGCCCGACCTGCCCCCTCTGCCGCAGCCTGCTCTCCTCCCCAGTGTTTTCCCAAGTAAACTCGTGTCTGCCCGCAGGATGCAGTGACCAGCCTGTGCTTCGGCCGCTTCGGGCGGGAAGACAACACCCTCATCATGACCACGCGAGGTGAGGGGCGTGGACCGGGCACGGGAGTTGGAGCTGGGAGTGAAGGGGCAGGCCAGATCCTGGGGGAGAGGTGGGCGTGAGGCACGGGAGGACGGGGGTGTGGAAAGCAGGGCTGGCAGACACAGGGGACAGCTCATCAGCGTTTGACATGGCGACCTCAGGGCCAAGCCCGTGGCTGGGTTGTGTCTCCGGTTCACCCAGCATCCTCAGCGCCTACCCACCAGGATCGTCAAAGTGCTCCCCATATAACTGAAACGAATGAAATATCTGATGGTAGGGGGGTGTTTGGACAGACTTCATTCCGTGCAGAGATTCGGGGTCTGGGCAGCAGGGCAGAAATGAGGAGGATTGTCAGGGAAAGAGATTGGAAGGTAGTGACGGGGAGCACACAGCTGTTTCTGGCTCCGCTTCCCCAGGTGGTGGCCTGATCATCAAGATCCTGAAGCGCACGGCAGTGTTCGTGGAGGGGGGCGGGGAGCTGGGCCCCCCGCCAGCCCAGGCCACGAAACTCAGCGTGCCCCGGAAGACTCGGCTCTACGTGGACCAGACGCTGCGCGAGCGGGAGGCCGGCACCGGTGAGACTGGGCCCCGCGCTCGAAGGAAGCCTCTCCGAAGGGGAAGAATGTAAGAGGAAGCCTCCTTCTTAAGACTAATCTTCCTCCTATCCGACTGCATGCTGCTCCCTAGTCTTTCCTCCGACTCCTCCTCTCCGCCTCCTCTTCCCCCTCCGCCTCTCACTAAACTCCTCCTCCTTTCCGAATCCTCCTCCTCCGCCTCCTCTCCTCCTTTCCTCCCCTCTTTCCCTCCTACTCCTCCTCCTCCTCCTCCTCTTTCCTCCTCCTCCTTTCCTCTCCTCCTCCTCCTCCTCCTCTCCTCCTCCTCTTCCTCCTCCTCCTCCTCTTCCTCCTCCTCCTCCTCCTCCTTTCCTCCTCTTCCTCCTCCTCCTCCTCTCCTCTCTCCTCCTCTTCCTCCTCCTCCTCCTCCTCCTCCTCCTCCTCCTTCTTCCTCCTCTTTCTCCTCCTCCTCCTCTTCCTCCTCCTCCTCCTCTTCCTCCTCCTTCTCCTCCTTCTCCTTCTCCTCTCCTGCCCTGAGGCAGTGAGTGGGGCGCATGCGGCCTGGGCCCCGAGCAGTGGGAGGAGAGCTGGTGGCTGTGCAAGCTGTGCCTCCGGTAGTCCAGCCTCAGAGGCCACGGGCCCACAAATAACTTCCTCAGGCGGAAGGAGCTGTGGGTGAGGGCGGGAGCCCTTGGCATTCAGCGGAGGAAGCAGGGAGTGGTCCAGCACCAGTGTCATCAGAAGGCCTCCTTCTCCCCACATGCCCACCCTCTGCAGACCCTGCCAATGTACCTCCGTCCTGTACTGTCCCCGCCCCCTCCCCACCCGCCTCCCCTCCCGCCTCCAGCGTCAGCCCTGTGTCTCCTCAGCCATGCACCGGACCTTCCAGACCGACCTGTACCTGCTGCGCCTCCGGGCCGCCCGTGCCTACGTGCAGGCCCTCGAGTCCAGCCTGAGCCCCGTGTCCGCGACCGCCCGGGAGCCCCTCAAGCTGCACGCCGTGGTGAGCGCAGCCGCGGGGCAGCCGCAGCTTCAGAGCAGAGGGCAGAGCAGGGAGCCCTGCAGCCCAGAGCCAATTCCAAGTCAGCTCGGCCCCGTGCCCCTTCTCACCTCCCACAGGCCCGCTTTGTGAGAGCGTCTCGTCTCTCCCTGTGCCGCCTCTGCCCGCGGCTGGCCGCTCAGGGACACACTGCAGCTCCCTCGTCCCGGCCGTGCTCAGACAAGCCGGGCGTGGGGCAGGGCACACGGGTCCTCGCCGCGGGGTGTTCCGTCCCAGGGGCCCGGAGGACCCTCCCGCTGTGCGCGGGAGGACAGCTGTTCGGTTCAGCAGCTGCGGAGCCCCCGGAGCCAGGATCCCTGAGGCTGGCCCGGGCCCGGAGGAGCCCACACACCCAGGCACAGTGGCCTCAGGGTCCTCAGGGCTCCAGCCAGCTCCCACAGGTCCCTGAGGTGTGCCACTTGGCCCAGCTGGGTTTCTGACTCCTCTTTCCCTAAAGAAAGGCGGGGGGGGGGAGAGAGGAAGAGGCTACAGGGCAGCGGGGGTAAGAGGGAGGAAAATGAAATCACTTCGGCCACTGCAGGACGGGAGGGGAGGCGGGCCAAGCTCTAGGAGAGGGGCAGGGGCAGTGGTGAGGACACGGGGACCTGTATCCCCAGGCCAGCTCTGCCTCTGACCCCCCATCTGCCTCTTCCCGGCCTGGGCCTTGGCTGATTCCGTACCCACAGGGGCCAGCCTTCTGGGCCTTTTGGGAGGCAGAGGGACAGCGAGCTATCGCTAGAACAGGTGGAGGAGGTGACTGGGGACCCTGATGAGGACGCAGGGCCAGGGCACACTGTGTTCCCGCCCGAGGCCACCAGGTCTGCCCGCCCCTCCCTCCACAGGTGCAAGGCCTGGGCCCCACCTTCAAGCTCACGCTCCACCTGCAGAACACCTCGGCGGCCCGGCCCCTTCTGGGGCTGCTCGTCTGCTTCCTGCACAACGAGGCGCTCTACGCCCTGCCCAGGGCCTTCTTCAAGGTGCGGGACAGCCTCCGGGGACGCGGAAAGGTGGGGTGGGGGCTGGTTAATGCCCACAGAGCTTCCACCCGGCCGGAGGTGAGGGCTGGAGCGGCTGCAGCCGCAGGTTAGGCGAGGGCACGGCAGGGCCTCCGGGGAGAGCACCCAAGACCCGCCTCGCTGCCCTCCTCCCAGCCTGCGCGGTCTCAGCCGCAGCCGGCGCTGGGGGAGCCGCCATGCGGGCCCCCTGTGCCTCCCCCAGAGCCTGTGGCCCTGCGGCAGCGATTGGCCTGTCTGCCTCAGGGGGCACGTCCCGGTTTTCCCGGGCCCGAGGGCGGATTTCCCACCGTCTTTGTCCCCAAACGCAGGTCCCCTTGTTGGTGCCAGGGCTCAGCTACCCCCTGGAGACCTTTGTGGAGAGTCTCAGTGACAAGGGCATCTCAGACGTCATCAAGGTAGGTTGCCATTGGTACCGCTCGGGGGGGACAGGGGGAGCGTGTGGACAGGTCCCCGTGGCTGCCTGTGGGGTGGGCGTCTGCACAGGAGTGGCCTGTCTCAGGGCCAGTGCGGACTGAGCAGGGGGCCGGGCCCCGGGGGCCTGTCTCAGGGCCAGTGCGAACTGAGCAGGGGACCGGGCCCCGGGGGCCTGTCTCAGGGCCAGTGCGGACTGAGCAGGGGGCCGGGCCCCGGGGGCCTGTCTCAGGGCCAGTGCGGACTGAGCAGGGGGCCGGGCCCCGGGGGCCTGTCTCAGGGCCAGTGCGGACTGAGCAGGGGGCCGGGCCCCGGGGGCCTGTCTCAGGGCCAATGCGGACTGAGCAGGGGGCCGGGCCCCGGGGGCCTGTCTCAGGGTCAGTGCGGACTGAGCAGGGGGCCGGGCCCCGGGGGCCATGACGCTGCTCCACAGGTGAAACCTCCTCCACAGGTGCTAGTGCTTCGAGAAGGCCAGAGCGCACCCCTGCTGAGTGCCCACATCAACATGCCCGTGAGCGAGGGGCTGGCGGCTGCCTGAGCCGGGCTGGCGGTAAAGCGCCTGCGGAGTTGGGACCAGGAAGACCCAGCCCTTCACTGAGCTGATGGAGGCAGTGGCGCCTGCTCCCCGCGCAGCAGGTGCTGGGCCACAGCTCCCTCCCCCTCCTGAGCCCCCGTGCTCACCGTCCGTCCCGGGCCACCTCCAGCAGCGGTCAGCGAGTGCCAGGAGGTCCAGGCCCTGCTCCCCAGGGCGGTGCAGGCCCCGCTCGCTGGGCTCCTGCTGCTTCTCCGTCCTCCCGTTTCCTCCAGAAACCGCACGGAGCCCAGAGGCGGCTCTGAGGCATCGAGGTGAAACGGGGGCCCGGCCGCTTGTCCTGGCAGCTCCCCAGGCACAGCTCACTGCTGCCGCCGGCCCACAGAGTCGGCTGCGGCCTGGCCGGGGGCAGTCAGGCGTTACTGGGGGAGACTGAGCCCCCGTTGCTCCCGGGGGTCCCAGGAGCTTGGCTGCTGCCAGTTCAGCCCCTCATCGCTGAGCAGGGCCCCTCCTGTTCAGGGGCCCAGAGTGTAGCTGCCCCCCCACAGGGGCTTTCTGAAATCTCGGCCTCAGTCAGGGTCTCAGGCCTGTGATGCGCCATGCAGAGGGCAGAGGGCAGAGGGCAGAGGGCACTCATGCAGGGAGCTCGTGGCCCAGCCCGGACCACGTTCCTGAGACCACACAGGCGCTGCCCCTGACAGGATGCTTGTGTCCAGAACGTACGCCCAGAAGAGGCAGGCTCAGTGGGCAGAGCAGAGGGGCAGCTTGGCTCGGGGGAGTGGCATGGGGAGGAAGCCCAGAGCTGCCAATCAAGATGTGCTTCTGTGCCCAGGAGCCAGAGCAGCCGTGTAGGTGGGAGTTCACCTGGCAGCGGCCGGTGTGAGGGGATTCGCTGGAAAGGCACGGACAAGAGGCTTGAGTGGTCAGAGGCTGAGCAATGGCACACGTTTAGCCACAAGAACCAGAGACCACAGTCCCGGCCTCGGTGCTTCATACCCTGGCTGTCTGCCTGGCCACCTCCCAGCATTCTGGGGCCACTCCTGAGCTAGGAGCCCCACTCCCGGAGGACCTGCACCTCCCCGCTCTGAGCAGGAGCAGCCCGATGTGTGGTGACAGCTCAGGGTTGTAAGCCAACTCCTGGGGACCTCAGTTTCCCTTGTGTAAACTGAGGCAGTGTGACCAGTTCTGCTCTGAAATCCTATGGGCCTGGCAGCCCCTCAGAGGGAGGGAGGTGTCGGCGCCAGCAAAAACTTGGCAGGAATAACAACAGCCTTTGCCCCGAGGCCCAGGGCCCCGAGCTGACTGCCACTGCCAGGCAGCCTGTGCCCAAGACACAGCGAGGGACAGCCACCCCCTCGCCCCCTGAGGAATGCATTCTGGGGCCAGATTAATCAGTTAACTGCCACGATATTTTGAATTTAATTTATAAAGGTCTGCTGCTTGCGTCTATAGATGCTTATGGCGTACAAATGGTTAAGAGAAGCAAGGGGTCTAGACAGAGAAGAGCCCCCCCCCCCTTCTCTGTACAGTCCGGCCTCTTCCAGACACGGACCAACTGGGAGAGGGTGGTGGAGGGTTCTCGATCAAAGCAACTGATGCGCAGGGAGAACAAGTTGGAGGTTTCACCTGGAAATGGACAGACAGGGAGAGGGCATGGGGGCACAGCAGGTCACTGTCAGCCAGACTCAGCTTCACCCGAAGAGCTTTCAGGAAGCTTGTCCCACGAGGGCCTGCCCTACAAGGTGCAGCCCTCGTCACCGGTGCTGTGTGCTCGGGGCTGGGCCATCACTGCTCCCGTGGCTGTGATGACCCAGATGACCTCACAGTCCCCTTCACCCCAGTCCGGTGACGAACTGTGTGAACTCCTCTGGGTTCTTCTCATGGCTGTTCACGGCGACAGCGGAGAAACTGCTCCTGTGCCCAGCAACTAAGGTGCGCTTACATGATGGACTCCCATGTGCTGTCACTAAAATACATGAACTGTGGTGATGTGGTCAGTGTAAATGAAGCAAGAAGCAGTGCACGGGACCCAGGGCCTCACTGGTCAGGACTCCAGGAAATTGTGTACATTGAGGAGGAGTTGATGCCTGTAAAAAAAATATTTGTCTAAAACGGCCTGCTAAGTACCATGGATTAGACCCTAAGCAGAGAGCGTCTCCCCACCCTGGTGCTGCTCCCCTGCACTCATCTGCAGTTACCTCGGCTATTGATGGTGTATCATGCTTGCACTGGTCTTGCTCCATTTGTCAACCTCAGACACTGTCTGTTGGCTCCCTGTCCCTAACAGATGAGGGACACCTCCCTTGTCTTTTCAGTTTGTAGGTAAATTGACATTCAGTTTGGATTACAATTTATATTTACTGTGAACCAAGAATCGGACTGTAATTAAATAATTTGAGTCCCTTTTTGTTCTTCATGGAATTAATGAGCCTGTTTTTTTCATTTGCTTAGTTTTCTGTGCTGGGTCTGACCGGTCCTCCTTTACTGGACACTGGCCTCCGTCAGGGGGCACGTCTGCTGGCTCCCTTTGCCAGCACCCAATCCTGGCCCTGTCTTCCTCCAGCGTCTGCACCCCTCCTCTGGTGAAGCACATCCACAGGTCCTTTCTCTAAAAAGCCACCAGAGTTCACATCATAAGGCACTGTTTGTCTGAAATTTTTTCTTAAAAATATTTTTTTTTATTGATTTGAGGGAGAAATAGAAGTATCGATGAGAGTCACTGGTCAGCTGCCTCCTGCACCTTCCCTCCCCACACTGGGGACTGAGCCGCCAACCAGGCCTGTGCCCTGACTGGGAATCGAACTGTGACCTCCTGGTTCATAGGTCAATGCTCACCCACTGAGCCACACCAGCCAGGCTGAAATTCTCTTTATTCAATTCATACATATATGTGATAGTTCAGGTCATAAAACTTGAAGTTGAGAATCATTTTCATGCATAAAAATCATTTTCAGGCAGTACTCCTATTCATTTTTATTTTTGTAATGCTATTGAGAAGTCCCTAACCTCCTCTCTTTGAGGCTCTGAAATGTCAGGACACACCTTATTCTGTGTCTTATTCTGCTGTGGGTAGAGATGTGCATCCTTCCGTTCTGGAAAATCTCCCATTTTCTCTCGAATTCTGATTAGGCCAGCATCTGTTAAATCCAGAGAGAACAGGACCGATCCTCTGATTTTCTTCTCTCATCTCTTATTGTCCTTTTATTCTGTTTTTGAGAGATTTGTATCTTCCAGCTCTTCTCTGAAATTGTTTTTAAAGTGCTATTATTTTCTCAGCTCTTTTTGTTCTCTGTTCAGTCTTCGATTGTGGTGTCCTTTCAAGGAGCTCAACAACACCATCAATCAGCTGGATATAACTGACACCCCCAGACTGCTTCCCCAGAGAACACACATTTCCTGAGTCCACAGGGACGTTTACCGGAGACCACATTCTGAGCACAGAAAACACATTCACAGACTTAGAAAAGAATAGGAATCGCAGTGTCTGCTATCAGACCGAATGGCATTGACTGGAAAATTCAATTTCATGTAGATGTTGATTCCCCAAAACTGACCTGTAGATTCAGTTCCATTCACAGTCTCAAAGAGGTTTTTACTGTTGGAACGTCACAAGCTGATTCTAAATTCTACACGGAAGCACAGGATCAAGAACAGATCACAGGGGATCATACACAGAGGGGCAGAATAGAAAAACAGATTGTGGTACAGTCAAAGGGTCACCATTCAGCAAAGGAGGAGTGCCCTACAGCTGCGCATTTAGACAAATCTCAGACACTGAGTGAAAGAGCAAGTCATAGAACAAACATGCAAATAAACATTTACATAAAATTCAAAACATGCAGAACCAATACAAATGTAATGAAACTACAGAACAGAGCCAGAGAGCGATTGAGACTAGTGTGTCCTCTACCAGGCAGGGCACGGGAGGGACTGCAAAGGGAATGGTATCCATTTCTTAGTTGGGTGGGAGCATGTTCCTCTTTATAAATATTTTCTCACATCTCCTTTTTATCTTAAAACCCCCTCAGAAACAAAAACACACAAAAAGATTCTGGAGGAGGGGTAAATGGGACAGGTGGTTTGCCATGCCCATGTCTCAGAGCAGCCTCCCAGGCAGCGTCTGGAGGCTTTCACTTAATCCCATGTTGGTCCTGCCTCTCATTCTATCCGCTCCAGTGCCCCGAGACGTAAAGCTTCCTCAAACAGCCTCCTCGCCCCCCCAGAGGGTGGCTGCTTGGCTGTCGGGGGTGGGGTGGGCACTGGGGGGAAAGCCATCCTAGCTGCTCCTCAGACTGGGCCAGCCCCTCGTCAGCCCCAGACCTTGCCTTCCACGTTGCTCATGGAATTCCTGAGCATCTGCAGGTCCTGGGAGGCAGCCTGGCTGCCTGTAGGCCCCTCCGTCTGGGAACACAATCGCAATCTCGACTCCTCCGCTGAGAGAGCAAGTGACCTCCATTTGCTTTCCGTCGTCTAAAACTCGGGGCTCTCTGCTCTGCTGCTGTCTTCTTCCTATTCTTTTATTCCTTTTTAAAAAATTTGTATTTTATTGATTTTTCACAGAGAGGAATAGAGAGTGAGAAATATCAATGAGAAAGAAACATCAGCTGCCTCCTGCACACTCCCTACTGGGGATGTGCCTGCAACCAACTGCCCTTGACTGGATTCGAACCCGGGTCCCTTCAGTCTGCAGGCCAGCACTCTATCCGCTGAGCCAAACCAGTTAGGGCTATTTTTTATTTCTTTACTATCATTTCAGATTTTAAGAGGAAACAGGTACATTTATGTGCTGAAAACCTGCCACATTTAACTAGTTACTAGATGCAAACAAAAAGATTAAGTAGCCCCCAACCAGGCCCAAGAAGAGCACAGCCCTGTCAGCACCACCTGCCACAGATGCTTGAAGGAGAAAGCTGGGTTCAAATCCCGACTCCCATTTACTACCCCATGGACTTATCCTATCCCATCAGTTCTGAGCCTTAGGTTTCCTACCTACATAACTGCCGCTCAGAGTACCAGGTGAGCTAGAGGTTCCGTGAAATGTGAATGTGGGAATGCTTCTAACTCTAAGCAATGAACCTGGGAAAGAATTTTAGATGGACCCTAACCGGTTTGGCTCAGTGGATAGAGCATCAGTCTGTGTACGGACTGAAGGGTCCTAGGTCTGATCCTGGCCAAGGGCAAGAACCTCAGTTGCAGGCTCCTAGGCAACCAATCGATGTGTCTCACATCAGTGTTTGTCTGTCTCCCACTGTCTCTAAAAATCAATAGGAAAATATTCTTGGTTGAGGGAAAAACACAATAGAATCGTAGATGCTGATCATGCCCTGGCTCAATACCTGCCAGCTGGTGCTCCCACCCCATCCCACCCGGCCAGAGGCAGCGCCCGGCTCCCAGGTGTTCCATGCTCCCAGCCGTGACCAGCAAAGGAACCTGAAACAGCAGCCGGGCCGCAGGGAGGGACCAGAAACCCACAGCGGAGGGAATCCGGGAGTCAAGTGGGTGCTTTATTCATCTGGCAAAGGGGCAGAGGTTGGCCAAGAGCCCCTTGCCAGACCCTCCACTGCACTCGGGGCCACTGATAGAGGCAGATGCACAGGGCCCAAGCCCTGGATACTGAGTCCACGCTGGGCAGGGGCAAGGCCAAGGATGGGGCTGGAGCTGCTGGAAGCAGACATGAAGTCCCAGCCCGCCCCTCGACCTGAGCCGGGCGTGGGCCTGAAATGGCTTATGAGTCCCTTCTCCCCTCCTCCCTCCCTCCCTCCCTCCCCGCACGGCTCTGGCTCTCCCTGGAGTCAGGAAGCCACGACCCCCACGTCAGCTGTGGTCTGGAAGGTGATCCCGTCCCCTGGCAGCGGGGAGGCCAGGAAGGGCCAGAGCCAGACCAGGACCCAGCGGGGCCCCAGGGCCGCCTGCAGGTTGTGGCAGGGGCCCAGGTCGTAAGCGTGCTGGCCCCGCGCCCACTCCCAGGTGGTCTGGCCCCGGAGCAGCAGCATGCCGTGGAAGAGCAGCCCCGCCCCGCAGAACAGGGCGCCCGCCACACACGTGTCGGTCACGAAGGCCAGCGCGAACTGCGCCAGGGACACTCTGCCTGCAAGAGAGAGCGGACAGGATCAGGGGCGGCAGCGGGCCCGGTCCCCCCGGCCCAGCTCCTGCCCTCCAGCCGCCTCCCAAATGCTCTGAACGGCAGACGGAACCTCTGGCCTCGGGGAGCTCACAGACATGAGATCCCTGCTCAGTTAATGACAGCGGTGCTGTGTGCCACGCCGGAAAAGCAGAGCGTCTCTCTGAGGCCTCCCAGGCCTCATCCGGCCCACGTGGGTAACAAGTATCTGCTGGACAAGAACCACAGGACCAGGGTTCGGAGTGGACCGTGGGTGTAGGGGCCAGGAGGCAGGGGGGAGAAGGCCCAGAGCACTGGGGGGGGGGGGGGGGGGGCGCAGGGACAAAGAGTATAAAAGACCCGTGGCTTTTATCTTGGGTAGGCAGGGACATTGAGTCCTGCCTGCCTCCCAAGAGGAGGGCCGCTGGGTCCCCAGGGTCCTGCCCAGTGTCCCTCCTCCCACCAGCCTGGCCCCTGCCAGGGCCTCTGCCTCTGGGCGGCCTCCCTGGTCCCACCTGTGAGCAGCATGAGCCAGGGCAGCAGGAGGAGGGCCGCGGTGTGGAGGGGCGGGTGGGCGCGCAGCAGGGCGGCCAGGGCGGGGCCCAGCAGCACGGAGACGTGCAGCAGGGCGCCGGCGCCGTGGAGCAGCAGGCACAGGAAGGGCCGGTAGTTGTGGAAGCCCACACAGCGGCCCAGCAGGCGGCAGTGGTGGTCCCGGCGCAGGATGCAGACGCGGCAGGCGGAGCAGTGCCCGCTGCGGGGCGGCACCTGGCTCTGGCACTGGTAACAGTAACTGCAAGGAAGGGGCCCAGGGTCAGTGCCCCCAGCAGCTCCGAGTGCCCGGCTCCTGCCTGCGAGCCCGTCCTGGGAAAGCGGAGGCTGCCCTTGCTGAGCCTCAGGTTATTCACAGGCAAATGCAGGCTGGACCCCGCTTCCCGGCCCTCCCGGCCCAGCACTGCGGCCCGAGGGCACTTCGGCTCTGACATCCTTAGTCCTGAGGCCTTTCTCCGGCTCTCACCAGGAGCAAACTTCTGCCTTCCTCCGCCGTCACCGCTTGGCCCAAGTCACCATGAACTCTCACCTGGATATGGCAACCTCCTCCTGACTAGTCTTCCCGACTCCACCTTGGTCCCCTCCTAGTGTAGTCTCACCCCAGCAGCTAGACCAGCGGTCAGCAAACCAGGGTTCGAGAGCCACACGCGGCTCGTCGGCCCCGTGGGTGTGGCTCGGCATTTGAACCACTTCTTCAAAATAGACTCCCCCAGGCCGAAACCGGCTTCTGCGCATGGGCCACGGAGTTTCCGTCGCACGGTACATGCACGCCCACACGTGGTATTTTGTGGAAGAGCCACACTCAAGGGGCCAAAGAGTCGCATTTTGCTCAGGAGCCGTGGTTTGCTGACCACTGAGCTAGACTGATCCTTAAAAGTCTAAGTCATGCCCTAGCCGCTTTTGCTCAAGTGGTCAGAGCATCAGCCTGCAGGAGTTCCATTCCCATCAAGGGCACGTACCTTTGTTGCAGGCACGGTCCCCAATCCCTATCAGGGAATGTGCGGGAGGCATCCAATTGATGTGTCTCTCTCACATTGATGTTTCTCTCCCGGTCTCTCCCTCTCCCTTCCACTCTCTCTAAAAAAATCAATGGGGAAAAAATATCCTTGGATGAAGATGAACAACAACAAAATCTAAGTCATGTCCCTCCTCTGCTCAAAATCTTCCAATAGCAACCTGGCGAGTGTGGCTCAGCTGGTTGGAGCGTCGCCCCATGGACGGAAGGTCTTGAGATCCATTCCCAGTCAGGGCACATAACCAGGTTATATTTTTTATCCCCAGTCGGGCATATATGGTAGGCAACCGATGGATGTTTCTCTCTCACGTCAATGTTTCTCTCTCTCTCTTGTCCTCTCTCAGCTTGTCTCTTTATTTTTATTTATTTATTTTTTAAATATATTTTATTGATTTTTCACAGAGAGTAAGAGAGAGGGATAGAGAGCTAGAAACATCGATGAGAGAGAATCATCGATCAGCTGCCTCTTGCACACCCCCTACTGGGGATGTGCCCGCAACCAAGGTACATGCCCTTGACCAGAATTGAACCCGGGACCTTTTAGTCCGCAGACCGACACTCTATGCACTGAGCCAAACCGGTCCCAGCTCAGCTTGTCTCTTTAAAATCAATAAACACACACACACACACATCCTCAGGTGAGAATTAAAATTAAATGTTAAAAAACATCAACCAGCCGAAACCGGTTTGGCTCAGTGGATAGAGCATCGGCCTGCGGACTGAAAGGTCCCAGGTTTGATTCAGGTCAAGGGCATGTACGTTGGTTGCGGGCACATCCCCAGTAGGGGGTGTGCAAGAGGCAGCTGATCGATGATTCTCTCTCATCGATGTTTCTAACTCTATTCCTCTCTTCCTCTCTGTACAAAATCAATAAAAAAAATATTTTTAAAAAACAACCACCCTCCAATGGCTCCCCATGCCCTTCTAGTAAAAAGCAAAACCTTCAATGTCCTACTAGGTCTTCGCATGTCTAAGCTCTGTCCTCCCCTTCTCTCACTCCACGTTGGCCACACTGGCCTTCTTGCTGTTCCTGGAACATGCTAAGCACATAACTGCCTCAGAGCCCTTATGGTGTCTCTTCCCTCTGCCTGGAACACTCTTCCCCCAGATTCCCAAGTGGCTAACTCCCCCACCTTCTTCAAACCTTGCTTAAACGCCACCTCTTCAATGAGGCCTACCTTGTCCACCCTATTTAAAACTGCTCTACATTTTGTTTCCTTACCACCATCTCCTAACATTCTATATAATTTATTTATTATGCCTGTAGTTTACCTTGCACATAGCAGGCGCTCAGGAACATGTCTAAGTGAATAAGTGATCCTCCTAGCTCTCCCATCCGGGTTCTACATGGGTTCTCTGGTTCTAACAAGCGAATCCCATCGAATCTGGTTCTAACATCCTCAGGTCCCGAGGCCCCGCCCCTTGCCCAAGGCTCCCGCTACCCCCCCGAACCCCGAGCCCCACTCACGCCCAGCCCCGGCCTAGCCCGCGGCCGGCCAGCATCACGCCCCGGATGCTGGGGTCCGAACACAGGAAGAGCCCCACGTTGCCCAGCAGGTTAAGCAGCTGGAAGGCGGCCAGCGCCAGCTGGAAGGCCCGGGCCAGGGGTCCCAGCGGGGGCGGCCCGGGGCCCAGCACCAGCACGTAGGCCAGCTCCAGGCCCACCGCCGTCGCCCACAGCGCGGTGAGCACGAGGGGCAGCCGCGTGGGCGGCCCGTCCGCGCTCCCCACCGCCCGGGGCTGCCCCATGGCCCGGACCCACCCGCCGCTTCCGCATTGGGGCGGGGAGAGTGTCAGACGGAAGTCCGCCCCGACCAATGGCAGCTCTGGGGGCGTTGCTGTGAGGTGAGAGTCACGTGGAGCAGCTCGTGGATGCGAAGATGTGATTGGACGGCCCATGAGCCAATAGACGCTTGGAATCCCGTTGGCGCTGGAACTGGGGCGGGGCAGCGCAGCTGGAGCCCCGCCCACCAGGAGGCCCCGCCCCGCCCGCTGCAGCGCCGCTCGCTCGTCCGGCTCCCAGTGAGCCCGCGGGATTGAGTTGCACCCTCGGTGGCGTCGGGGTTTCCCGGCTCAGCACATTCCCCGTGACCCCCAGCCTCCCCGGTATTAATAGCCCTGCGCCGGCCCATCCAGCTGGCCCGGAGCCCCTCCCCATGCTCGAGTGTCTCCCTGAGTCACCCCAGAAAACGTTCAAAACCTCTCTGCGCCTCGGTGTTCCTGCCTGTGGAATGGGGCCAGGGCTCCCGGTGTCCCACCGGCGCCTCCAGGAGAGGGTCAGGAGCGGTCTGCAGCCGCTGTGACTGTTGTCATCTCCGATGGAAGGAAACCGAGAGGGGCCCCGGCTTTCCCGAGCTCAGACGGCGCCCTAGCGGCGGAGCTGGACCTCGAACCCCGATCTCCGTCACGGGATCCAACCAACGCCCCCAAAGTCTGCAGGCCCCAGGCCCAGTGCAGCCTCAGACCGATCCCGACCTGAGCGCCCTCGCCCCATTCGGCCCCTCCCCCCCACCCCCATATTTAGCGTGAATCCGATCCGGGGCCGGGCCCGGCGCTACTTAACGGGCCCGGTGTCCTGGAGAGCCCCGGGCAGAGCGAGGCCAGGACTCCGGGGCGATGATGATGGTTCTGCAGCCCGAGGGCCTGGGGGCCGGGGAGGGGCCCTTCGCGGGCGGCGGCGGCGGCGAGTACATGGAACAGGAGGAGGACTGGGATCGCGACCTGCTGCTGGACCCGGCCTGGGAGAAGCAGCAGCGGAAAGTGAGTACCAGCCCATTTCCTGATGGCATCACTGAGGCCCGAGAAGCCCGTCAGTGCTGGGCGGTAGAGCCTGCAGAGTGCCACTCCCTCGCTCAGGCTCTGCCCACCAGCCCTCTGTGGTCCCCCCGGGCTGGAAGAGAGGGCGGGGAGCCCTCAGGAGGGGGTTAGGATGACAAGGAGAGTGTCTGGGGAACCCCCAGGATGGTTTCCCTGGGTCCACTGCCTACTTCTCCTGAGTTGGCCTTAGCTCAGGAGATCCAAGCTTGAGGGTTTCTGGAAGAATCATCTCTTTCTCCCTACACCTACCCCACCTCTCCAGCTAGATGTTCCCAGGCCCCGCCCTGGCAGCCAGGCAGCCGGTAAAGGGATTGGGAATGTCCGGGTGGGACAACCGCCGGAGATCCCTTCCCGTCCGCTCGCTCCTCCGTATCTCTCCAGCATGGTGTCCGGAGTCACTTTATTCCAATGGTCAAGTGAGGAAACTGAGGACTAGAAAGAGGCAGAAATAGGACCCAAATCATATGCTGTCAGAAAACAGGACCCCCTCCCACCCCCCCCCTGAGGGTCTTTCCCCTCGCTGGCCGCATTCCCCCTCTTTCCCTGCCCCAGCACGGAGCCTGCTGGAAAGGCCACGGGCCTGGGGAGGCGGGAGCCTGGGTCCCCTTACGCAGAAACCTGACTCTCCGGCCAGATGGCCGCTGGGTGCTGAGGCAGCAGCTTGCGGGGGAGCTGGCGAGGGGCACACGGCAGCTGCTGCTGTGGCCCAGCCTCGCAGGGTGCTGGGGCCCGCTCTCCGGAGCTGTTTTCACTCCCAGACTTTCCCCATGGCGGGGGAGGGCACCTGGTTCCCTAAAGAGAAGTGATCCAGGCCTGGGGGCTGCAGCCAGGCTACTGGGCCCTGCTCGGCATTCGCCGACAGCACGGCTCCAGGCCCGGCAGGGAGCAGGGTGCTCGGTGAAACCTGCAGGACCTGAGAATCCCAGGGTTTAGCATCAGAGCAGCTCTGCCGGGCTCGGTGACAGAAGACGGCTCCAGGGGCCAGGAGGCTCAGCTGACAAGTCTCCCCAGGTGACATGCTTCCCCTGGCTCCTCTCGCACCTGTCTCCGAGCCCTGCAGTGGTCCTTGGGTCCAGCAATCTCCTGGTGATGTCACCCTGCCCTGGCTCCAGCTGCCGTCTGCTGTGCAACAACTCTCTCTCTCTCTCTCTCTCTCTCTCTCTCTCTCTCTCTCTCTCTCTCTCTCTATACACACACACACACACACACACACACACACACACACCGTATTTTCCGGCGTATAAGACGACCCCCTAATTTTACAGTTAAAACATAACTTAAGGCCTATATTTGCTGTATAAGACTACCCCCCACTTCAAAGAAAAGACTTACTTTGCCATCAAGATCTGCAGGTAATTTTTGTGAAATTTTGGTCTTTTGCCCCCGATTTTCGGTTGACTTTTTTTCGTTTCAAAAGTCGTCTTATACGCTGGAAAATACGGGCTGGCGCTCTCTCTCTCTCTCTCTCTCTCTCTCTCTCTCTCTCTCTCTATATATATATATATATATATATATATATATATATATATAATAATTGATTTTTCACAGAGAGGAAGAGAGAGGGATAGAGAGTTAGAAACATCGATGAGAGAGAATCATCGATCAGCTGCCTCCTGCACACCCCCACCGGGGATGTGCCCGCAACCAATGTACATGCCCTTGCCTGGAATCGAACCCGGGACCCTTCAGTCCGCAGGCCAACGCTCTATCCACTGAGCCAAACCGGTCCCGGCTGTGCAACAACTCTTACCCTTACCCCCGCCCCGGCCTGGCCTCTCCCACATCCGGGTCCACGTGCCCTTCTTAAGACTCAGGCCTCTCTGTAACGCGCCTTTGTCACTTAACGGGAATATCCTTTCCGTCCAACTTCCAGCCGCCCCCCTCATCCATGCACTCGGAGGCTGAGGAGCATGGCTGCTCTGCACTAATCAGCTTCTCCGGAGGCTGGACATTCCGGTCCGTTCTTTCTCACCCAGCGCTGTTTGTTACAGTGCAGCGAACTCTCTGTGCTCAGCATCAGCCCTGCCTCCTCCCTGCTACCCTTCTGCATCTGGGAACACTCCCAGCTCCTCCCACCCGATGCCCGAGCCCTCCTCTTCATTCACCCCCACTCAGAAATATCCACGCACTGTTTCCTGAGAACGTCCTGCTATGTGCCAGGCACGGTTTGGGGCGCCAGGAACTGGGCAGGGGACCAGCTCAGGGAGCTAGGACTCCAGCAAGGACAAACGTTTCTGTCTCCCCACCTTCCCTTCCATGGACACCCTTTTCTCTCACTCTGGTCCTGGTCACCATCTCCTCACTTTTCCCTTCTGCTCTGCCACGTCTTCTGTCTCCACTCTGCAACCAGAATGAGTTTTTTAAAAATACCGTTCTGCCGGGACCGGTTTGGCTCAGTGGATAGAGCGTCGGCCTGCGGACTGAAAGGTCCCGGGTTCGATTCCGGGCAAGGGCATGTGCCTTGGTTGTGGGCACATCCCCGGTGAAGAAGATGATTCTCTCTCATCGATGTTTCCAACTCTCTATCCTTCTCTCTTCCTCTCTGTGAAAAATCAATAAAATATATTAAAATACCGTTCTGCACACACACACACACACACACACACACCCGCCGCCGCCTCCTCTGCCTGAAAGCTTCCCTGACTCCCTGTTGCTCTCAGGGTCAAGTTCAAACTCCCTGACTTAGCACCCAAGATCGTGCATGACCTGGCCACCGCTGGTGCTCCGGCCTGCCTCTGCCTCTGCCTCACCAGGCGTAGCCCAGCGCCCCAGCTCCCTCCGGCCGTGCCCGCAGACCTAGCAGCTGTCTCCTCCTGCCAAGCACTTGCCCATGTGGCTGGCCCTGCCCAGAACGCCCTGGCCTGCCCTTTGCTGCCTGGACAGTTTCTGCTCCTCCATCCCAGCTCTCACCCAATTCTAGCTTCCCCAGGAGGCGCCCCAGAGACCCCCCTGGAGTCTCTCCCGGCTCTTCTCGGGCCGACGCGGCTCTTCTCGGGCCGACGTGGCCCTTGGATTGACTGTGAATTCCTTTAGGGCAGGGACCACATCTCATTAAGGATCATGTTCGGACCCAGCCAGTTTGGCTCAGTGGATAGAGCATCCATCCCGGGTTTGACTCTGGCCAAGGGCGTGTTGTACCTGGGGGTTCCAGGTTCCTCCCCAGCCGGGGCCCTGATCAGGGCTCGTGCAGGGGCCACCAACCGATGTGTTTCTCTCTGTCTCTCCCTCTCTCTTTGACTTTCCCTAAAAATCAATGGAAAAATACCCTCGGGAGAGGATTAACAACAAAATTTTTTTAAAATCATGTTTGTCGAATGAAAGAATGCCTCCTTCTTTTCCATGGAGGCCCCACCCAGACCTGCCTGCTCCCTGCCCCTGCCCCCTGCCCCCTGCCCCATCCATTTCCAGGGCATCCCAGACGCCAGGGTGGAAGGCACTACAGAGTCAGCTGCCCTTCCTGTGCTCAGCGCTCAGACCCCTCCAGGGCAGGACGCTCCCCCCCTCCCTTAGCAACGACACCCCCTCAAGAACCTGAAGCATCGCCTCCCGGTCCCGCTCGCTCCCAGGTCACCTGGAAAGCTGTCTGTGAGGAAGGGAACTGGCCGAGGGAAAGGATTCCCAATAGCTTCCAGGGCACCTAACGGGAGAACCGGCTTTGTGGGAGGCCCATGCTCTGAATTCTAGAATCCTGCCAGGTCGGGGAAGGGGGACCTGAAACAACATGGAGTCTGATCCCTTAACTGTACAGATGGGGAGACTGGAGGGCCTACGAGAGGGCACACGAGAGGATTGGAGCCCAAATATGGATTCGACCAAGGACATGATAGCTGACAGACCCAGGAGCATCCGGGCCTGAAGGCTGGTAGTTTGGCAGAAACTTGTGCTCCAGGCTCCAGGTCACCCCCTCCCCAGCAGGCACACAGCCATACACCAGACCAGCTTTTCTAACTGGGGGCCAGGGGAGGAGAGCCACCTCCTCCAACTAGATCAGGCTGGGCCCGCGTGCCCAGCCGACCCTCCTCAGGCTGCAAAGCTCTTGCTCACTCAGTGCACCTGGAGGCCAATTCACAGCCTGCAGAGGTCGGCGGGACTCATATAAAGATACACAGGGGCACAGACCCTCGGCCAAAACCCTCAGACCAGATGTGCTTTGACCCAGAATTCTTCCGATTTTAAAACGGCTTTATCATCCTGCATTGGCCCTTGTACGGGCCCCACACTTTGGGGTGTCTGCTTTATGGTTTTCTAAATCCCCCTCCAGTGCTGGAGACTGCTCAGAGTCCAGACTGAGACCTGCCTGGGACCCTCTGCCAGGGGAATGAAAGCTCAGAGCGGGAAAGGGACCGGCCCAGATACACAGCAAATCGGTGGCTGAGCCAAGACTTGAATCCAGGGCCTTGGGCTCTGAGATCCCCGACAGGGGCCCTGAGCACTGTCTCAGCACAGGGGTCTGAGCGCCGCTCTCCCCCCAGACCTTCACTGCCTGGTGCAACTCCCACCTGCGCAAGGCAGGCACCCAGATCGAGGACATCGAGGAGGACTTCCGCAACGGCCTCAAGCTCATGCTGCTCCTCGAGGTCATTTCAGGTGAGGCGTGCAGACCCGTGCACGGGCCCCGGGGAGCTGGGGCGGGGGGGCCCCGGGAGCTGGGGGGATAGGGCAGCGGGGACTGCAGGGGGTTGGCGGCGGAGGGGAAAGTTTGAGGACAAGGTCTCCGACTTCCTCTCGTGACCTTTGACCCTTTCCCTCCTCTTTTGCGCCCAGGAGAGAGGCTGCCCCGGCCAGACAAAGGCAAGATGCGCTTCCACAGAATCGCCAACGTCAACAAGGCCCTGGACTTCATCGCCGGCAAGGGGGTTAGGCTGGTGTCCATCGGGGCTGAAGGTGAGGAGGGGGCAGGAGGGGGCCTAGGCCGGGTTTGGGGGTTCCTGACACCAGCAAGTCACCTCTGTGCGCTTCGGCTTCCTCATCTCAACGATGGGGCCGAAACCAGTGTGGCTCAGTGGATAGAGCGTCGGCCTGCGGACTGAAAGGTCCCGGGTTTGATTCCGGTTAAGAGCATGTACCTGGGTTGCGGGCACATCCCCAGTGGGGGGGGGGGGGGTGTAAGAGGCAGCTGATTGATGTTTCTCTCTCATCGATGTTTCTGGCTCTTTATCCCTCTCTCTTCCTCTCTGTGAAAAATCAATAAAATATATATTTAAAAAACAAACAGTGGGGACAGCCATCCGTGCCTCATGGGAGGGACTGTAAGGAGCAAATGTGCCCCAAACGCCAGCCCGTACCCTGCTACCTAGACTGTGCTAGAGTCAATGTTAGTAACACAGCTGAGTGCCCACCAGCCCTGGGATGAGGGGCCAGGCCCAGAGAGCAGAGCAGGGGGGTTGGGGGAGTAGCTGAGGCTGGTAGCCCGGGCCTTGAACCCCAGGAGGGACGTGCCCCATCCCTGCCCTGCAGAGATCGTGGATGGGAACCTGAAGATGACGCTGGGCATGATCTGGACCATCATCCTGCGCTTTGCCATCCAGGACATCTCCGTGGAGGGTGAGCCGGGGCTGGTGGGGAGGAGGAGCAGGTGAGGGCAGGGGGCCTGGCCCGGACCCCTCCCCAGCGAACACACCCCCGTCCTCACCCAGAAACCTCGGCCAAGGAAGGCCTGCTGCTGTGGTGCCAGCGGAAGACAGCGCCGTACCGCAACGTCAACGTGCAGAACTTCCACACCAGGTCTGTCCGCGGGTCAGTGCGGGCGCGGGGCCTCTGCCAGGCCTGGGCCCGGAGCTGGCCCCTGTTCCAGCGTGGGGCGGAGAGGTCACAGCCGAGTTCCTGGAACTGTGTCTGAAAGTAGGAGGGCTCGGGCAATGCTGATCGACTCCAGGAGGCTGAGGGAGCCCTCCTGGGAGAGGGAGCACTGGAGATGTTCCCGGGAGGGCTTCGGCCAGAGAGGACCTTGTGGGCAGGAGGCCAGAAACATCTAGAAATTGGTGGGGCCTGAGCCTGCGTGTGTGAAGGAGTCATGGTGAGCTTGCGGGAGGTGGTCCACGTCTGGTAATAAAGGGCCTCCAGTGCCAGGCCGAGGAGTCAGGACTTTCCCCACTGGACAGAGGAGCTGCCCTGATGGGAATGCTTCCGGGCAAGGGTAGGACAGGGCCTCTGCTTGACCTCGGGCCTGACCCAGCCCCTTCTCTGTCCAGCTGGAAGGATGGCCTGGCCCTCTGTGCGCTCATCCACCGGCACCGCCCCGACCTCATCGACTACGCCAAACTGCGCAAGGTTGGCCTCCGACACCCCCAGCCCCCTCCCCCAAACCTCTGCCCTCCGCTGACCTTTGATCTCTCCCCGCTCCTCCCCACCTCCATGTAGGATGACCCCATTGGGAACCTGAACACGGCCTTCGAGGTGGCAGAGAAGTACCTGGACATCCCTAAGATGCTGGACGCGGAAGGTTAGAGTAAGACCGTCTCATGGTCTAACCTCCACATCTGCTCCTCCTCCTCCTCCTCCTCCTCCTCGGAGGCCCTGCCCTCCGCCCGGCTCCTGGTCAGAATCCTCCGGAGCCACTGGCCCTCTTCTCGGGCGTCTCGCCCACCTCCCTGTCCTCTCCACCCAAGGAGCCAGCCTCCCCGCCCCTTCTGGAATGGCCCCCTCTGCCTCGTATCCCAGCTCCCTAGGCTCTTGGAACATATTGGCCCCTCAAGACTGAGAGCTCCTCTGGGTTGGTGCCCAAGAAAGGCTTTAGTTAACTGAAACAGCAGCCCCGGCCGGTTTGGCTCAGTGGATAGAGCATAGGCCTGCGGGCTGAAGGGTCCCAGGTTCAATTCTAGTCAAGGACACATGCCCAGGTTGCAGGCTGGATCCCTCGGAGGGGGTGTGCAGGAGGCAGCCAATCAATGATTCTCTCATCATTGATGTTTCTGTCTCTCTCCCTCCCCCTTCCTCTCTGAAATCAATAACAAAATACATATTTTTAAATTGAAACAGCAAACACTTTCTGAGCATCGGCTGTTCCTGGTACCCTGAATGTGTGGGCATTGGCGGATGAGCACTTGGGGGACAGACAGACGGACAGAGTGTGGGATGGCTGGAAACACCAGGCAGGGTGGTCTGCGGCCCGGTTCCCTCACCCCACAGCGGGGGTGGGGAGACTGCTGGAGCCTGGGGTGATCAGACAGGGACTCAGAGAAGAGGAAGGTGTTTTGGGTAGCTGGCAGCTGGCGGCCATGACTAGATGTCACTGTCTCCACCCATTCCTTTTTAAAATTTTTTAATATTTTTTTTATTTTAAAAAATATATATTTTATTGATTTTTTTCAGAGATGAAGGGAGAGAGATAGAGAGCTAGAAATGTCAATGAGAAACATCGACCAGCTGCCTCCTGCACACCCCCTACCGGAGATGTGCCCACAACCAAAGTACATGCCCCCGACTGGAATCGAACCTGGGACCCTTCAGTCCGCAGGCCGACGCTCTAACCACTGAGCCAAACCAGTTTCGGCATGTCCCCTCCCATTCTAAGGGAGAGCCCTGCCTGGGGGGGACATGAGCCCATTCCCCACGCCTGGTCTGGCCAATAAGCCCCTCGCTGCCATCCCCAGACATCGTGAACACCCCAAAGCCGGATGAGAAGGCCGTCATGACCTACGTGTCCTGCTTCTACCACGCCTTCGCCGGCGCCGAGCAGGTGAGGGGCTGTGGACGCAGGGCCCGATCTTGGAAGCATCTCAGCATGTGGAGCCGCCAGGCCGGTGGCGGGAGTGCCACATCCCACCAACCCGGCTGCGCACACACGGCCTGGGGAGCTCAGGCGTAGAGGCGTCCGGCCTGGAAGCTGCCTCTCCGCCTGAGAGATGTGCCCCCTCCTCCCTTTTCCTGTTCCTACGGCCCGGCCCGGGGCTCACAGGCTTACAGGGGGAGGCCGGGCTGGGGGGGTCTGCGGCAGGCAGCCACTCTACCCCCCCTCCCCCCCCACCCACAGGCAGAGACAGCCGCCAACCGGATCTGCAAGGTGCTGGCTGTGAACCAGGAGAATGAGAAGCTCATGGAGGAGTACGAGAAGCTGGCCAGCGAGGTGAGCCAGGGGTCTCCCATCCCCGCCTGTGCTCTCCCGCCTGCTCCTCAGGTCTGTGCTGGCCAGGCCTCCCGCTCCTCCCAGTAGCCTTGGTCTCCCCCAGCCTCCTCATGATATCTCCACCCAGCTCCCACCACCTTCTGCCTTTCCAGGCTCCTGGTCATCCACTCATCACTCATTCATTTCCTCATTCATTTATCCATTCGCTCATCCCTCATTCATTTCCTCATTCATTTATCCATTCGCTCATCCCTCATTCATTTCCTCATTCATTTATCCATTCACTCATCACTCATTCATTTCCTCATTCATTTATCCATTCGCTCATCCTTCATTCATTTATCCGTTCGCTCATGTGTAGGTAGTCTCGTGGTTTTTGCTCTGTGCCAACTTATACTGGTCCTTGGTCTCAGAAACTAACCACCCTACTCCTTCCCAGAGGAGTGGGGATCCCCCATTCTTCCCTTCAGAGCCCGACTCTGCTCGTTTGGGCACAGCCTAGGTGTGGGTGTAGGGGGCGGGTGAGGGGGACACACCAGCCCAGAGCTCTCCGCTCTGCCCCGGCCCGGCCCGGACAGCTGCTGGAATGGATCCGCCGCACCATCCCCTGGCTGGAGAACCGTGTGGGCGAGACCAGCATGGGCGCCATGCAGCGCAAGCTGGAGGACTTCCGGGACTACCGGCGCCTGCACAAGCCGCCCCGCGTGCAGGAGAAGTGCCAGCTGGAGATCAACTTCAACACGCTGCAGACCAAGCTGCGGCTGAGCCACCGGCCCGCCTTCATGCCCTCCGAGGGCAAGCTGGTCTCGGTGAGCCGGCCGGGGACGGGTGGCCCTGGGATCCGTGGCCCCTTCCGGACAACGGGAGAGCCGTGACGGAGGGCACCTCCGCCTGCCCCGCAGGACATCGCCCACGCCTGGCGGGGGCTGGAGCAGGCGGAGAGCGGCTACGAGGACTGGCTGCTCGCGGAGATCCGGCGTCTGCAGCGGCTGCAGCACCTGGCCGAGAAGTTCCAGCAGAAGGCCTCCCTGCACGAAGCCTGGACTCGGGGTAGGACACGTCACGGGGCGTGATTCCGTCCTGGGGTGGAGACTGGAGACAGTGGGGCTGGGAGCCGGCCAGGGCTAGGGTTCGGCCAGAAAGATGGAGACTGTTTCCTAGTCCCACCCTTGCTATGCGACCAAGTCCCTGCCCTCTTTGGGCCACGTTTTCTTTCTGTGTAAAGTCGGCCCTCCACTCTCTTCTGGGTCTGGCCTTCTGCAGGTCTGCTCTAATGTATGTGTCATTTAGCATTGTATTTGTGTGTGTGGCATGAATCCAAGGGAGCCCTAATGTCCCTTACTCAGAGTGTACTGATGCCAAAATATTGCACAAGCCGCATATCTTACTCTGTATGAACAGTCATTCTGCATTCCGTCAGGATTTTAGTCCCACAAATGAATGACTCCTGCCTAAAAATAATGAACGAACACTAACCATGTATTATGGGTATAATAAATAATGATGGTTTGATAAAAGAAGATGTCCTTCAAAATAAGGCCACTTATGTAACCCTGAGATCTCCAGACCTCTAAATTTCAATGGCCTTCTCTGCAAAATGCAGAGGCACTCAGTAAATGGCTGCTGCTGCCATTATAAATGTTTTTATTTGCGTAATTATGGCAATTGTCATTCTCCGAGCACTTTTAGGTTCATTATTCACTCATCCAACAGATATGCATAGAGGGTCTACCAAATGCCACACACTTCAGGAGCTCACCGGGCTGAGTCCTTGGGAGGTAGTTCTCCATCAAATGATACCAAAACAGCACCCAGGGCCATCCCGCACCATGCAGGGCCGGGGGCCCCAGACGTCATTTAGGGGCCACAGCCTGGAACAGGAGCTTCTAAACCTGTTAACTGGGGAGTTCCCTTTTTAATGACGCAACCTGTAACGGGCACGTACTCTTTCACTAGGACGTGTCAGTACGTCACGCCCGGAGGATGTAATTTCATATCATTATTTTTTTTATTTATACTTAATTAAAATAAATGATATATATATTTTTTCACTTATTTATATATAAAGCACAAAGGAAAATACAAAATTACAAAAAAAATAGAAAAGAATACCAACAAAAAAATGGCAACATCGAATTAAAAAATTATAAATTTTACAAACAATTATAAAGATTACAAAAAATATATACCGTCCCTCTCAGGGCGCAACATATATTTCCAGGACGTATTCATACGTCCTACCCGTTCCCGATATTGTTTACATTTGACGTATTTATAGGTCCCGCTCGGTTAAGAGGTTAACGCTATGAGGCCTGGAAGCAAACCGCTGGGGCAGGTTAGGCAGGTGTGATCATCCGCAGTTCCCAGCTGAAGGACGTGGCTGTCACACAGCCCTGCCCGGGCCCTGCTCCTCTCTCTGCGCAGGAAAGGAGGACATGCTGAGCCAGCGCGACTATGAGTCGGCGTCGCTACAGGAGGTGCGGGCGTTAATCTGGCGCCACGAGGCCTTCGAAAGCGACCTGGCGGCGCACCAGGACCGCGTGGAGCACATCGCTGCGCTGGCCCAGGAGCTCAAGTAGGCGTGGCCCGGAGCTCGAGTGGGCGTGGCCCGTGACAGCTTGTGGGCGTGGCCCAGGAGTTCTAGTGGGCGTGGTCAAGGAGCTCTGGTGGGCGTGGCCCAGGGCCCGGGCCGCCCCCGGAGACAACGCCCCTCCCTGCCCGGCCCCGCCCTGATCCTCATTGCCTTCAAGACCCTTATACCTTGTACTTTGGCAAGCCAGCCTTGGTCCCTTAGTCCTTCCCCATCACCACTTGCTCCTCCCCTCCTCCCTTATCCCCATCCTCATCCCGACCCAGCTCTGCCGCCCACACTCCTCCTACCGCCACTCACACCACCTCCCGGTCCCCACTCATGGCTGTCCGCTCCCTTCTTCGGCTTCGCACCGGGTTTGCTATCCCCTTGGCACCTCCTCCGGTAAACCCGCCCCTTCTCACGTAACCCAGGCCCTTCACTCAAAATTAAGGTGACCAGACGTCCCGATTTTTAACAATTCGTCCCGATTTTTGGACTTTTTTAAAACGCCGCGGGACACGGGACAAATTGTTAGAAATCGGGACGTCTGGCACCTTACAATCCTAGAGGGCCAAGCTGAAACCATTGGGCACCCCTCTTCCCCTAGGGCCACGCTGGGAACGCCCTGCCCTGCCCTGGCTTTCTTACACCTTCTCCACAACCCGGGGTGTGATCAGGAGGAAATCTGGGCTGCAGGCTGGCCCCCCAGCCCTCCCCTCTTCTCGCCCCCAGTGAGCTGGACTACCACGAGGCGGCCTCGGTGAACAGCCGCTGCCAGGCCATCTGCGACCAGTGGGACAGCCTGGGCACGCTGACCCAGAAGAGGCGGGATGTGCTGGAGGTGAGGGGGGGCTGGACCCTGGAGACAGGTGAGGGGCCTGTTGGGCCAGCTGCTGACTCCCCGCCATTCCTGTGGCTTCAGAGGATGGAGAAGCTGCTGGAGACCATCGACCAGCTGCAGCTGGAGTTCGCACGGCGGGCAGCGCCGTTCAACAACTGGCTGGACGGTGCCGTGGAGGACCTGCAGGATGTCTGGCTGGTGCACTCCATGGAGGAGGCCCAGGTGGGCGTGGTGTTCGGAGGTGGGGCGGGGACTGAGGCTGCATGGATGACAGGGAAGCTGGCCTACATACTGCCGGCCACTGCCTTAGGCTCTTGAGGAAGCGGCGGGGGGGGAGGGGGGGGAGCTGTTTCTGAGAGCTGGACTGGGGGACAGGACTGGGTTCTTGACCCACGGGATCGCCTGGAGCATGGTGCTGCCCTTTGTCGCTTACAGGAAGTGGGGGTCCTGGCTGATCCTTCCTGCCTGTTGCCCTCAGAGCCTGCTGACAGCACATGAGCAGTTCAAGGCGACGCTGCCCGAGGCTGACCGAGAGCGGGGTGCCATCCTGGGCATCCAGGGTGAGATCCAGAAGATCTGCCAAACGTACGGACTGCAGCCCATCTTGGCCAACCCCTACATCACCCTCAGCGCGCAGGACATCAACACCAAGTGGGACACGGTCAGTGCTGCCTGTGGCCACCCCCTGCTTCCCACCTGCTCCTGAGAGCTCTGACCACCCTGAAACCTCAGGTGTCCCAAAATAAGGGTCCAGGGTCTGCCACAGACTCTCTGTGGTCCTGGACAAGTCACCTTGCCTGTCGGCCTTATCTGTAAAGAGGCCCTAACAGCAGCATTTTCCTGTCAGGCCTGATGTGAAGTCTAATGAAATCTGGCGTGTGGGCACCCTTTACAAAACAGTTAGTTATAAACGAAGTCGATGCCCCATTTACAGATGAGGAAACAAGCCTAGAGAGGTTGAGTGATTTGCCCAAGAGCCTGCCCGTCAAGCCCTGGCACCTTGGTTCAGAGCAGCAGGGGTTGTCTGAGGGGCAGGGCTCCTCCAGAGCTGCCTGGCACAGCCACTCCCCTTTCAGGTCCGAAAGCTGGTGCCCCGCCGTGACCAGATGCTGCAGGAGGAGCTGGCACGGCAGCAGGCCAACGAGAGGCTCCGGCGACAGTTTGCAGCCCAGGCCAATGCGATCGGGCCCTGGATCCAGGGGAAGATGGAGGTAAGGCTTGGACGGTGGGGCAGGAGCTGGGCCAGCCAAGAGCTGGGCGTTCTTGCTGAAACCGGTTTGGCTCAGTGGATAGAGCGTCGGCCTGGGGACTGAAAGGTCTCAGGTTTGATTCCAGTCAAGGGCATGTACCTTGGTTGTGGGCACATCCCCAGTAGGGGGTATGCAAGAGACAGCTGATCAATGATTCTCTCTCATCGATGTTTCTAACTCTCTATCCCTCTCCTTTCCTCTCTGTAAAAAATCAATAAAATATATTAAAAAAAAAAAAAAAAAGAGCTGGGCGTTCTCATCCTGCAGGAGGTGGGGCGCCTGGCAGTGGGCATGGCTGGCTCTCTGGAGGAGCAGATGGCTGCACTGAGGCAGCAGGAGCAGGTCATCATCAACTACAAGAACAACACTGACCGGCTGGAGGGCGACCACCAGCTGCTGCAGGAGAGCCTGGTGTTCGACAACAAGCACACCGTCTACAGCATGGAGGTGGGAGGGGCAGGCCGGAAACAGCACGTCTGCTCCAGGAGGGCTCCCAGTTCAGCGTGGCCAGACCCCCACAGACTTTCCACCTGTGGGGGAGGAGACCCACGAGTGGAAAGTGACCTGTCCAGACCATACAGCAGTCTAAAGCCAGGCCAGATCGGCCACAGATGGTTGATCAGTACTTAATACATAATAAATCATCCAACTTTAAGGCAGAAAGGGCCACTGGAGGTCACACAGTGGAACCTCCAGATGGGGACAGAGGCCCAGAGAGGACTTGCGCAGGGTCTCACAGTGGGTTGGGGGTGGAGCTAGATCTTGTGGCCGGGCACTGGCTGCCCACTCAGCCCACCTCCTGCTCCCCCAGCACGTCCGTGTGGGCTGGGAGCAGCTGCTCACCTCCATCGCCCGCACCATCAACGAGGTGGAAAACCAGGTGCTGACCCGAGACGCCAAGGGCCTGAGCCAGGATCAGCTCAATGAGTTCCGGGCCTCCTTCAACCACTTTGACCGGGTCAGCAAGGGCCCCGCCTAGTGGGGTGGTGGACCTGGGGGCTGGTGGGTTTGAGGACCAGGCCTGACGCCCACTTACCCACCACAGAAGCGGAATGGGATGATGGAGCCTGATGACTTCCGGGCTTGCCTCATCTCCATGGGCTACGACCTGGTGAGTGCCCCGCACCTCCTCCCATCGGTTCCCTGTCCTACATGTGTCCTGGATGTGCCTCCCACCGTAACACCATGGTCTCACTTTCTCCTCACCTCACCGTGAGACCAGGCAGAATCAGACCGTTTCACACAGGGGCTACCAAAGGCTCCCAGAGGCAGATTAACTTGCTCAAAGATACAAGGCTGGAAATTTGGACGTAGTTCTGTCTCTCCAAAGCTTGAGTTTGCAACATTTTACTCCCTGGAGTGCAAGAGCCCCAGGAAAAAGACCAGGCCCGATGGGCAGAAGGGGAGCAGACACAGCTCGTAGCAAGGCCTTTCTGAAGGCAGAGCTGCCAGAGCTGCAGTCTATGGGGAAGGGAGCCCCGTGACAGGGGCTGTGCAGCCGGAGCCGGACAGTCCTCAGGAGGGACACGCAGAGCCCGCCCGGCTTCAGCACCCATGGGCATGGCGCCGGCCTCTGTCCCTACAGGGGGAAGTGGAGTTTGCGCGCATCATGACCATAGTGGACCCCAATGCAGCTGGGGTCGTGACCTTCCAGGCTTTCATCGACTTCATGACCCGAGAAACAGCCGAGACGGATACAGCTGAGCAGGTCGTGGCCTCCTTCAAGATCCTGGCGGGAGACAAGGTGGGGCCCTGGCCCGGAGGGGCAGGCGGGCTGGGCAGGGAACAGGACCTGTGGGCCCTCAACACCTCTTCTCCCCAGAACTACATCACCCCCGAGGAGCTGCGGAGGGAGCTCCCAGCCGAGCAGGCGGAGTACTGCGTCCGACGAATGACACCCTACAGGGGGCCTGGGGCGCCCGCTGGCGCCCTGGACTACATGGCCTTCTCCAGCGCCCTCTACGGCGAGAGTGACCTCTGACTTCAGACCCGGACGAGGTTTCCGTGCAAGTAGGAAAGAGGGCGCTCCCTCTGGCTGTCCCGTCCATCTCTCAGAGCACGGACCCTCAGAACGAGCAGCAAACTTTCAGAATAAAGATCCATCGTGGGTTTCACTCCATCTCCTTTTGGTTCCTGGAGCAGAAGCTGGGCCCTGGGCTCCTGGGCAGGACTAAATGCCTGACCTTAACCCTCCAAGGGTCCCCACCCCCCCTCCTGACCGCAGAGACTGAGCATTCACACCACACTGGAGTGAGGACACCTTTATTGCTGTTAGAAAAGGGTGGTTACAACAGTCTGTCTAGACATGAAAGGGGACACTGTCCCCGCCTCCAGGGGACCAGAATTTGCAACGTCAGAGAAAAGCCAGGCCAGGAAGCCAGGACAAGCTGAATTCAACACCAAAATATCTGCTTCCCACCTGTTCCTTGCCTGAGCCCAGGGTTCTTGGCCCAACTCAGCTGCCAAGACATCCTCCTTCACCCAGACCCTCCCAGCTACCACAGCGTAACCAAGGTGCAGCCTGGGAACTTCAGAGCAGGAGCTGGGGGAAGGGGGGAGGGGCTGTACCCCTCGCCCAGTGCCCTTGGCTCACCCTGAGGCACCCGGCACCCATCCCTGAGCCAGCTGGGGAGGGGCCTGGAAGTGCTGGTCAGGCTGGGGAGAGACTGCCCTGGTCAGCACCAGGTCCTGAGCTGGTGCTCCTCAGTTCACTACTGCTGAGCTGGCCATGGCATTCACACCACAGGCCCCAGACCCACGATGCAAGTAGTAGTAGCCCTGGAAGAGAGGGGAAGGGGGTGGTGGTGAGGGCACTAGGGCAGGGTGGCGGCTGGAGGGCCAAGGGCTGAGCAGGCAACACTCACCTCCTCACCCCAGTCAGTGCCCCAGCTGTTCTTGATGGCCCAGAAGGGAACGTCAGAGCCTGGGAAGTAGGGGGAGTGCAGGAGTCAGGGCCCCAGGTACTCTGCACTCTGCACATATCTGCTGTGGGCCTACTGTGTGACAGGTGCTAGGAAAAGAGCAAAAAAAGGCCCCCCTGCCACCCTCCTGGAGACCTGAGGCTCGGGTTCAGGAAGGAACCTGCCTACTCCCCTCATGCTGGCTAGTCATCCGTCCAGTTTAACCTCCTCCTGCCTCAGCCTTCCCATCCACCTGGCCCACAGCTGGGGACAAGGTTCCTAGCTCCCCCCAGATTTCCCCCAGGGCCCTGAGACGCTGTGGTTCCGCCCTGCCCGTGGCTGGGTTTGTGGGCAGAGGGGTCACAGAACTCACGGTTGCCGTAGCCCACAAGCAGCACAGCGTGGTCAATGAACCAGGGGCTGCAGAGAAGCCTCAGGGGGTGGGAGATTCCGTGGCGGTAGAACTGAGGAGGGGGAATAAGCAATAGTGGGCCAACTCCAAGGAGAGGAAGGGGAGGAGCCAGCGAGAAACGGAGCAGGGCAGTGGGGCTAGAGCCTTACCTGCATGCCGAAGGCGTTGATGGCAATGGAGACGGGGCCGTTCGTGGCCAGCCAGGCTGCCAGCTCTGAGACGGGGGAGGGGCATATCAGGGGCACCCAGGTCCCAGCCTCACGTGGCCTGTCCCCATCCCATCCCTCACTCACCTTGCTCATCATGGCTTAGCTCTACCGAATCATTGATGTAAACCTTGACCTTGTCTGCAGAGAAGCTGCAGGTCTGCAGGTGGCCACTGTAGCTGTAGTCATCCTCCGTCTCCAGCCCTCCTGGGCAACGGTGGGGAGCAGATGGGGAAGCAGAGAAAGGCGGGCTCTGTTTAGCATACACTCCTCTTCTCCTAGCCAGAGGCTATGCTAAGCCCCTATCCATAAGGCTTCACATTCCTCGTCTGCCCCAGAACACAGGCCATCCCCTCCAGGAAGAGCCTCAATCCAGTGTCCATCAGAGGGCGGAGGGAACAACCAGAGAAATGTGGCAGAGATGAGCTCAGGCCCCCACTGCGGACTCCCCGCTTGTCCCTGCTTTCCTAGGACTCTTGACTTGGCTTGCTTATCCTGCTGAGAGGACTCAGCCTGACTCTGCCCAGCTCTTGCAGGGCACGGGTGGGTCCCCATTTGGCCCGATCCCCAGGCTTCCAGACCAGTTTCTATATGGCCACTGAGGCCTTTATCCTCCTCTCTGCAGCCCACTGCTTGACTGACTTGCCTATTTAATTCAATACCTCTCCTCAAGAGTGAGGTGTGTTACTACCTGGTTTAGCAGCAGCTATAAACACAGACCTCCAAGCAACAAAAATATCAAGACCCTGTTATGTGCCAGGAACTTGACACGTTTCCTCACTTGATTCTCAAGGCAATCCTATGAGGTGGGCATGAGCCCCATTTCACAGATAAGACAACTGAGGCTCTGAAAGAGCTGACTTGCCCAAGGACTTCAACCAGAAGGGTCAGCACGAAGACTTAAACCCAGTTCACATGATTCCCATGCTTATGTCTCTCCCCACACAAAACATGACTTCAGGTGGAGGGTGAGTGGCTCCCACTGACCCCATTAATGCATACCCAAAGTCTTTATGGCCGACTGTCCCTCCTGACCCCATTAATGCATACCCAAAGTCTTTATGGCCGACTGTCCCTCCTGACCCCATCAGTGCATACCCAAAGTCTTTATGGCCGACTGTCCCTCCTGACCCCATTAATGCATACCCAAAGTCTTTATGGCCGAATAGGCGTTGGAGGGCAAGCCGCCCATGCAGGCCTTGTCCACTCTGTCGCAGTCCACGAGCTCTAGGAGACAAGGCCAGTCCCGAGGAGCCCTCGGGAGGAGCTGGGCTGGGCACAGGGGGGCACAGGAGGATGCTCACCCTGCTCCGAGAGGGAGAGTAGGTCCCCCCGTTTCAGGAACCACTGGCCCTCCACGTTGCCTGTAACTGAGAAGGCCCAGCAAGAACCACACATGCCCTGCAAGAGATGGGCGGAGTCAGGGCTGGGTCTCTTCCCACCCCTAGGACAATCCTCATGTCCCACCCTCGCTTCGGAGGGGTCCAACCTGGTTCTTGACTTTGGTGACAGCCCCCTTTCTCCTCCAGTCCCACTCAGGTGGGGCAGGGTCGCCGACGGACTTGACTAGGCGCATCTTCTTGCCAGGCCCCCCTTTGAGGAGGGGATTCAGGTAGAAGGTGCGGAACTCCTCCTCTGTGGGCAGAGGTGAGCAGAGGATGGGGGGGGGGTGCCCCTACGTCAGCCCTGATCAGGGCCTTAGAAACAGGTCCTGTCTCTTCTAGGCTCCATTATGGCTCTGGCCACCAGCCCTACCTGTGAGGTCACTGAACTTGGTGACTCCATACTGAGCTGTGCCACGGTCCAGGGCCTGGATCTTCTGTGCTCGTATCATGTTGTTGATAAAGACGGACATGCGCCACTGGGCTTCTGAGGACCGAGGAGCAGGGGAGGAGGGCTCAGACTCCAGGCAGATCATAAAGGAGCGTTAGCTGGCAGAGGGTTCCCTGGGGAGGAGGTGGGCTCTGCAAGCTCAGGAAGGACAGAGCCTGGAGCAGGGAAGGGTGGGGGGCAGACCTGCAAGTGATAAGACTGGAAGGTTGGTAAATTTTTGGGGCCAAACTGGGGTGATGACGTCCCAGGTGTGAAGGCAGAACCCGAATGGGCCCCAAAGAGCACCCAGACAGGGGGTCACGGGAAAGGCTATCATGCCAGGGGCCTCCAGCGGAGAAAATCTGTCCTTTGTCCCATCCCACTCTCCCCAGAATTGATGGAGGCCCATGGTTTCTGACCAGGAAGATCAGGTGGGAGTGAGTCAGATCCCTGAGGTAGCCGCCCAGTCCTGGGCAACTGGGCAGGAACTCAGGGACTTAGGAGTCCCTGAAGGGATGCACGCCCTCTCCTGTCCTTCCCCTCCCAACACCAAGGTGCCAAAGGGGGGGGAAGGCCTGATCTGATTGGGACGGTGCACCCCAGGCTGGGTCCTCACCCTCCTCGGTCTCGTATGTCCGGTTATAGGTGGTGATGAAGTCCTTGAAGAGTGAAGCCATTTTCACATAAAAGTCCTGGAAAGGCAGAGGGGTCTTTACGAGGAGTCCTTCTCAGACTGACCAGGGCGCCCCCGCCAGGGAGAGGGGAAGAGAGGGCATACGAGGCAGCAGCCAGCTCCCCAGAGAGACAGGGGCTCCTCACCTGGGGTAGAGGGTCCCTGTCCAACAGGGGGAGGAATGGGCTGAGCGTCTCATTGTTGTCCTCTGGAAAGGATTGGAACAAAGAGATCAAGGCTGAACCCCGAGTGAAGTCTGCTCCGGGCTGTCCCAGCAACCTTGGGCTCTCCCAGCACCTTTCATCTCGGTGTCCACTGGGCCACAGTGCTGCTTCAGCAACGCGTGCTTCCCTAGCTCGGAGAGGACTTCAAAGCTGCAGAGCTGGGGGGAGAGGAGGAAGCCAGCCTGGGCCCTCGGCTAGATGGCGCTGGAGGCCCCCAGATGAGGGTCATCCCCAAGGCGATCACCCCCACCGCGGAGAGAGACATCTTATCTTCGTAAAGCCTGGTCTCCGCCCGGGGCCAGGGAAGTGACCTGGGTGCCTGCTGCCTCAGATCCCTTCCTCTTGGCCGGACCCGCCGTCCCAGCTGCTGCCAGAGCGAGCCTGGGGCAGGGGACGGAGGGAGCCCGTCACTCACCAGGGTTCTCCTGGGCACAGGGAGCTGGCACTCCGCGGGGTCCTTGCAGGGCAGCTCCTCCAGCGTCACCTCCAGAGCGTACAGCGCCCCCCGGCCCGCCTGGGTGGAGGGGCGGAGGGGCGGGTGAGCGGGCACAGCCGCTCCCACCTCAGCCCCGTCTTCCCGGTCCCCCCCCCGCCCCCCCCCCATCCCAACCAAAGGGGTCCCGCCGTCCACGCCCCACCCCGAGCTTGGGCCCAGGTTCCTCGCTCCCGGACCCGGACCAGGGCCCGCGCCCCCGCCCCGCCCGTCCTCACCCGGCGGACGCGGCCGCTCACGGCGCCCGGCACGGCGCGCGCCCCGGCCGCCAGGCCGCGGCTGTAGGTGTCCAGCGCGAAGCGGACGGGCCGCCGCAGCAGCTCCGGGGCCGCGGGCGCCCAGGCCTGCGCGCCGGCGTCCCGGCGGGGCGGGGCGGGGGCCGCGCCCGGGAGCAGCCCCAGCAGCCACACCAGCGGCAGCCAGGACGCCATCGCGGGGCGAAGCCGGCGGCGGGACCACGGGCTGCGCGGGTCAACCGCCCCGACCCGACCGCGTCGTCTGAGACCTCGGGACCCGGAGCCCCGCCCCGCTCCGGGCGCCGGCCAATGGACGTCCGCCTGGGGCGCCTGCGCACTCATTTATTTACGCGAGGCACGTGGGGCGCGCTGACTGCGCAGGTGGGTGGGGTCCAGCCCGGCGGGGGCCTGCAGGAGCCCCAGCCTGGGAATAATCATTTTAGGTCTCTGGAGCTAGCCTAAGAATAAAAGTAACTAACGTTTATTGCATTTTTATTATATGTTAACATATAATCGTTGTAGCAATCCTGAGAAGTAGATGTAATCCCAATTTAATAATGAATAGAGGCTTGGAGAGATTAAGCTGTTTACCAAACATCGGACTAGTGATGGAGCAGGACTTGAACCCAGGGAGTTGGCCTCAGAGCCTGGATTCACAGTTCGACTCTTCTTTGAGGCCTCTCTTCTCATCAGCAAAATGGCAGCTAATATTCCCTGGATTGGCAGTTAGTTCCTCAGACTATTGTGAGGGTCAAACAAAACCATGCAGCCATTTGGGTCTTAGGGCCTAGCAAGAGGAGATGTTAGGACAAGGGTCTCAAGGTCTGGGCAATTCCTACTAAATACTATTCCTGCTAAATATTAAAATGTGGCACAGTATTTTACAGGCCAGCTGTAAATAGAATGAGCTTGACAGTAAGCCAACTGAAATCAATGAATCAATGAGTACTTGACCAAATAGGGTATGTAAGCAATGGTAAGCTTCTGGGAGATGGAGCTTTGGGTATGAATCCCCTCTTCTTTACCTTACAACAACCACATCTCCTTCAGTCCAAAGGCCGGCGCTCTATCCACTGAGCCAAACCAGCTAGGGCAGACACATCTCCTTCTTGAATCTAGAGCACCCCAAGGGCAAACCATTTGTTTGGGTAACAGTGGCATGAACAGTTACATTAGGTTAGTGCTGCCCACGGGAACTCACAGTCAGGTGCAGAGACAGATGAGAAAAAGAAATGTTCCGGCATGACATGCCAAGCTGAGGGCGAAGGAAAGGGAAGAGAGCATTTGAAGGGGTTGGAGAAGTCGCAGAGTGGGTGGAGGGTTACCTTATACGTGGAGAGTGAGAGAAACCGATGCTAAAGATCACCTAGTCTAGCCCTGGCAGGCGTGACTCAGAGGCACACATTTTAAAGGGCCTGATGCTGTTGCACTTTGGTTAGCAAACTACAGCCTGAGGGCCATGTCTGACAAACTGCCTGTTTTGGAAAGAAAGTTTTTTTGTTTTGTTTGTTTTTTTTTACTTTTTACAGAGAGGAAGGGAGAGGGAGAGAGAAACATCGATGAAAGAAACATCAATCAGCTGCCTCCTGCACACCCTCTACTGGGGATGTGCCTGCAACCTAATTTCTATAGTTTCAGGAATTTAAACTATAGAAATAGTAGTAACCCTAAATAGATAAATGAGGATTTCTAGAGCATTTTTGTTTGTTTGTAAATGTCAAATAATAAATACATAAAAATACACACAGTGGAATACTATATAGCTATCAACAAGAAAGCAGCTCAATGTACATTGATATGGAATGAGCTTGAGGCATGTTACATGAAAAAAGAAAGGAGCAAAACAGAGGTACAGCCCTGGCCGAGTAGCTCAGTTGGTTAGAGCATTGACCTGATACACCAAATTGAAGGTTCGATCCCTAGTTAGGGCACATACAAGAATCAACTAATGAATGCATAAATAAGTGGAATAAGAAGTGAATATCTCTCAAAAAATAAAATAAAAATAGTTTAAAAACCAGAGGTACAGCATGCTAGTGATAAACATATGCATGGATAATAAATACACAGGCTCATATGTGTGCAGGCTATAGTTTATACAACGGCCTAGGAGGCCTTACCTGGCCTGACTTGCCCCTTGGCACCTTGTCATGACCCCTCTGACTCATCTCTCCCCCAGCTCTGCTCCTCCTACACTGGCCACCTTGCTTTCTTTTTTTCCCTTTTTTAAAAAAATATATTTTATTGATTTTTTACAGAGAGAAAGGGAGAGGGATAGAGAGCTAGAAATGTCGATGAGAGAGAAACGTCAACCAGCTGCCTCCTGCACCCCCTGTCCCCCCACCAGGGATGTGCCCGCAACCACAGTACATGCCCTTGATCAGAATTGAACCCTGGATCTTCCAGTCCACAGGCCGACGCTCTATCCATTGAGCCAAACCGGTTTCGGCTGGCCACCTTGCTTCTGAGACACCTCACTTAGCTGCCTGCCTTAGCGTTTTGCAATGTTGTCCTAAACGGGGCTCACTTCTTCCCCTCCTTCAATCCTTGGCTCAAATCTCCCCTTCCCAGGGAGACCTGTACTGACTACCCTAATTAGAACGACACCCCTCACCCTTTATTTCCTCCTACCCTACTCTTTTTCTTTTTTTCACGGTTCTTATCAACTGCTAACATTTTACTATTCAGCATGTTTAGGTGCTATGTTTATGGCTTATTGTCTATTTTCCTCCAGTAGAATGTAAACCGCAAAGGGTAAGGATCTTTGTTTTGTTCAGTGTTAAAACCAAGCATAAAATACCTACTAGGTGCTCAATAATTATTTGCTGAAAAAGGGAATGAAAAAGATACACAAGCCGAGACCGGTTTGGCTCAATGGATAGAGCGTCGGCTTGGGGACTGAAGGGACCCGGGTTCGATTCTGGTCAAGGGCATGTACCTTGGTTGCAGGCATACCCCCAGTAGGGGTGTGCAAGAGGCAGCTGATCGATGACTCTCTCTCATTGATGTTTCTAGCTCTCTATCTCTCTCCCTTCCTCTCTGTACAAAATCAATAAAACATATTTTAAAAAAAAAAGATACACAAGAAACTGGTTAACAGCTGTAACCCTCAGGGAGGGGAACTCAGTTATTAAGAGGTAAAAATGGGAAGGAGCCTTACTTTTCAGTACATACCCTTGTATACTTTGTACCATATGCTTGTATTAATTGATTGAAATTTTAATAAAAAATTTTATGCTAAAACTGGAAGAAGTGACAACCTGGACTCAACCCTTCATCTGACATACGGTGGTCCAGGTGCAGAGCAGTTAAGTAGTTTGTACACAGCCAGAATTTAAACCCACATCTGCTAACTCTAGCTCTTAACCATCATGCCACAGAGCCTGCTGATTTGGGGCTCTGCCAGCCCATTTAATGTAGCATCATAGAAATGCCCAGCTATTCCAAAGTTGATGGTGTTCCATTACAACGAACTCCAAGCGACGGTCTCAGTTCTTTTGACACATGAGATGTTGGCTGTACTGTGCTTAGCTTGACATAAATGGGAATACTGGCCTTGGGGATTCTTTTAGAAGAATTTCACTGTCAAAATAAAGTGTTGATCTCAGTCCCTTGGTAGTTAGAAACGCTATGTTCTTGAACCCTGCACTCCCAGATATTTCTTCTTTCCAAGCAGTCAAGAGGTCTGGATGAGCTGCTGGGGTGGGGGGCTGAGGGAGGGGTTAGAGGGTACTTGGCCTAGGAGTACTCCTGCGGGCTGTTACAGGCTGCCTGCTGAGCCTGCAGAATATGGCGGACCGGTGGGAGGCTTTCTGGGCCCCGGCCAGCTGGTGCATCCGCCGCCGCTGCTGCAGCCAGTAGAGCATCTCCACCCTGTCAAGCTTCATCTTGTCCAGGTAGCGCTGCCCCCTGAACGTCACCGGCTCACCAAAGACGGCCTCCACCTCCTCTAGGAGGGAAGCCAGCGGGGCCTCCATCTGACTGAGCTTCTTGTGCAGGCAGATTCGGACTTGATTCTCCTCCAATAAGCGAGTCAGATCCATCTCAGCCTTTTGGAAGAAGCGGTTGGGGTCAGAGGCGAGTCGCTCAAACCTCTCCAGTTTCCCCATCACTATCTCCCGCAGCTGAATGGGCTGCAGGGTCTGCTCCCAGGCGCTCACCAATAAAGGCAGCTGCATCAGACGGGCGTTGGAGCTGTACTTGATAGCCATGTCCAGCCGGTCCTTGTCAGGAACCTCCAGAGTGGACCACAACCGCTCCAGACGCTTCTGCAGATGCAGGAGTTTGCGAGGTTCTCCCAGGAGGCTGGTCCTCCCAGTTTCTAGACTGTGCCCCAGCACCGTGTTCCAATCCCACTCTCCCGGCACAAAATCTGGCTCTTCGTCCTCTAGCAATGGAGGTGGGGGCTGAATCTTTAGCGACTCTGTGACAGGGGCCTCCATCTCTTTAGGAACATCCTCTTCGTACATCTGGAAGATGACGTGGAGGAAGTCTGTCTCCTGGTTGGTGAGGTATTTGAAATAGTCATTCAACGACAAGGCGTTTCTCGACCAGTTCGTCCCCAAGGCCTTGTATGTCTGTCCCTCCAGGTCTCTGTTTCCTTGGGATGATGAAATAGAGGATTGCACAGTTGATAATCTCTTGGGAGAAAGACCGGCCAGCTTGGGGTTGATGGCACGATGCTGCTTCTCTAGATGCAGAAGAGCTGAGAACAGGAACATGGACCAGTCTTTATTGGTTGCAGGCTCAACCAAGGGTCCCTGGTTGAACGAGAAGTGGTCGATAGAGACACGGCTCATCAGCTCTTTGTAGACCTCCCGGATGCTGTTCCCAACGAAGCGATCAATATCCATGTCCTCGATGAGTTTGGGGTCCAGCTCACCAGCTAGGTGGTTGTATAGGGCTCCGGCCCCTTCAATGTGGAAGGAATCCAAAAACTTTCTCTCAGAGACCTGTACGCCAGCTGCCAGGACCACCATCTGATTTCTTAGCTTCAAAGTAATTGTCACCGGCTGTGGGTGAAGTGGAGGGGGTGTGGGGAGCTGGGGCCCCCCCTGCGCAGACGTTTCTTCTTCCTCACTCAGCATCCTCTGCATCTCTGCTATGCGCTGCGCCGTGGCTGGGTCGTGGGTCAGGGCCCCCAGGAGCGGGGACACGTCTGAGTCCATCGGTGAGTAGGGAGCCCGCTCCAGTTTCATGTTCTTCATTATCTGCTTCAGGTCCTCGGCCACCATGTCCTCTACCAGCTCGGGTTTGCTCTCTGCGAACAGGACCAGTGGGGTCAAGGGACGAGGGAGGAGCGGAGGGAGGCCCAATTCATCTGCCAGCTTCCAGCCCTCACGCAGAGAGGGCATGGACTGGCCCTTCTGGAGCCGGGCGTGGAGAGGCGGGTAGGAGACGGCGGGAGACAGGCTGGTGAGAGTCACCGAGTACCTGGGCAGCGACCCCACCTGTGACGGAGTGAAGCTTTCTACCTTCTTCCGCAAGCCAGGCAGCCAGCGGAGAGTCCTCCTCCTCTTCAGCAGAGGGATGGACTTCAGTTCCTTCACAGGATCGGGTCTGGTCTCGCTGAGAAACTCTCGCGAGCGGCTGAGTTGGATGAGGTAGTTCAGGCTGAGGTTGCAGTCAGGTATTTCGGCAAAGCTGGAGCCGCGGGGCCCGTGAGCCCTGGAAGTCGACATGCGCCCGGAGGAGCGCAGCTTGCAGATGCCGCCCCGGGCCTGCTCCAGCTTCAGCAGGGAGCGGAAGTCGGCGAGCAGGCTGCGGTAGACCTCGGGGCTGGTGAGGAAGATGGTGCAGTCCCTGGCGAGGTGGGCGGCCAGCCGGGTGACCGTGGCGGCTTCCGTGAAGACGTGCGTGGCGGTCGGCATGGTCTTCAGCCGGCGCAGGTAGCGCAGGTAGAGCTGCTCGCAGCTGAGCAGCACGTACATCAGCACCCGCTTCCGCAGCCTCTGGTTGTCGATGTGGCTCAGGCTGGGCTCGGCGGGAGGCTCCTGCCAGCTGCACTTCAGCTCGTTCAGGATGACCTCCAGGAAACGCTGCGGGCCGCCGGCGGGCACCCGCTCCGCCAGCTCGCACCGGGCCAGCCGCTTGGTCACCCGGCGGCACAGCGACGCCACGGTCAGCCGGGACACCGGCAGGAACGGGAGCGCGGGGAGCTCCAGCGCGGGGCGCTGCGGGCTCGCCGCCTCCGGGCTCGCCGTGCTGCTGCTGGGGAAGAGCGACAGCGGCAGCAGCAGCCGGTGATAGAACTGCTGGAGCTCGGCTTCGGGTTTGAAGGGCTTCATTTTGGCGCCGGCGCAGAAAGCTGTCGAGGTCGGGGCTGCCAAACGGTTACTAAGGCAACCAGGGAGCTAGGAGCCAGAGTGCGCCTGCGCGGCCAGTGCTCGCCGCGCAAGGATCGCTGGGGGTGGGCGGGGCTTTGCGTGCGCATGCGCGCGCGCTCCGGGAGGCGGGGCAAAGTCTGGCTCCCGAGGCTCCGCCTCCTCGTGCTGCCGCCGGGTTTGCCGCGGTGGGGACTCTGGCAGTTCGGATCCTGTCAGTGACCGGGTCCGAGATGGCGGCGGACTCCGGGGACCGGGAGACCGCCTGCACGGTGAGGGCGGACGCCTTAGGTGGCGGAAGGGAGGAGCGGGCACCGGGAGTGGGGACCTGGGGACCCGGCGAGGAAAGTGCGATAGTGGGAGAGTCCTCGGCTTTCCTGTGGGAGGGCGGCGTCCTGAAATGACTGAGTGATAGATAATGAAGAAGGCGCTCGAGGAGGGGTCGGGCGTTCGCCCCGGCCTCTGGGGTGGTGGTAGGGGAGGTAGTGAAACGGGGTCACGCCAGAGGGGTTCTCCGCTCTCATCGGCCGGTCCCTGCCGTCTTTGCAGCTGGAGTTCGCCGTGCAGATGACCTGTCAGAGCTGTGTGGACGCAGTGCGCGCGTCCCTGCAAGGGGTGGCAGGTAAGAGCCAGGACATTTTCTGAGAACCGTGCAGAGAGGCCTCTGGGAGAGGCAGACAGATCTCTTAGACCCTACTTCCGGAGGCCAGGGAAGGAACCAAGCGTCAGCTTTGGGTCTGGACAGGCTAGGCTGCCTTCCAAGCTTTGTGACCTCAGGTCAGTTGTGTAACCTTCTGGCCTCGTCGTCTCACCTGCCAGATGAGGACAGTGTCACCCTCCTGATGTGTGCAAAGCAGGGCGCACAGTCCTTGGCATACCTTGCAGGCCAGGGCCACAAAACTGCCCCGCCATCCTCCCCACAGCCTCTTCATGTCAAGAGGCACCTCTAGGTGGATCTGGAACCCCCAGGCATCGCAGGCTGCCCAGGATGAGATGTTGTGCGGAGGGAGGGACAGTTTGGTTATCTGTAGGGTTTCCTTTTCACAGAATAGCCCTGTTTCTTTTTTAGAGAAATTTTTTATGAGTTTAGTTGAGCCAAACTAATGATATGTGCCGGGGAACAAGATCTCCAATGCTACCAGCATTGCCTTGTTCTCCATCTCTCAGCCCAAATATCCCCGCCTCTCACGTGCTGCCTCCTCCCAGTTGCATTTCTCAGTTCTGCCTCCTTTGAGCGGGCAGCTTGTCTGACCCACAGCTGTCATTCCCCTCTCTGCCTGCCGATTAACCCGGGCATAGCCTGAGTTCCCGCACAGCCCGTGAGCTCCCTGAGGATGAGGATCAGTACTTTCCCTGATGCTGGCCTCCTCCATGCCAAGTACACATTTGTTGGAAGAATACGGAGGAGAGAAACCGAAGATAGAGGGAAGGCCAATGGTCAGTAGCATTCAGTTCCCAGGGCGCCAGCTGAACATGACATGAAGTGCCTCATTTAACCCACCTGCTGGCCAAAACCGGTTTGGCTCAGTGGATAGAGCGTTGGCCTGCGGACTGAGAGGTCCCTGGTTCGATTCCGGTCAAGGGTATATACCTTGGTTGCGGGCACATCCCTCATAGTGGGTGTGCAAGAAGCAGCTGATCGATGATTCTCTCTCATCGATGTTTCTAACCCTCTATCCCTCTCTCTTCCTATCTGTGAAAAATCAATAAAATCAATAAAATAGATTAAAAAAATAAATAAAAGATAACCCACCTTCTGGCCTGCCCAGGCTCTCCCGGGTTTTCCCCTCTAGCGCAGCAGCAGACACACTCACGGTCAGAGCAGAATGGTTGTCTTTGCTTTGGCAGCACGTATACTGAAAGCGGAGTAATACAGGGAAGATTTGCATGGCCCTTAAAAAAGAAAGAAAAGAAAAGAAAAGAAAAGAAAAGAAAAGAAAAGAAAAAAAGAACAAGAGAATGATTGTAAGCCCTAAGGTGAGAGCAGCATTAGAGGATTCAAGTCTCTTAAAAGGCTTGGGAGCCCTGGATATCTGAATGAAAGAGATATTTCTTCCTTTTTTGGGTTGGCCTGATGCTCTGCAAATCTCAGCACGTGTCAGAATTACCCCACGGGCTGCGTGCACACGGGGGACTCCGGGGACTTGGGGGGCCATGGAGACATACTGGCTCTTGAACCTGACCCTCGCGAACACAGAGCTCCCGCCCTCACAGGACTGAAATCAGTGCAGCCTGAGTTACAGGGAAGTGGCAGCTGCCACAGGAGGGCCGGGGAGGCTCCCAGCCCAGCGGAAGGCTGGGAGCTGCTTGTCAGGGGAGCAGTGCCCAGGGGAAATGCTTGGGCTCTGGAGGTAAGCTGCCTGGGATGCATTCCAGTTCCACGGTTTACCACAATGTGACTTTGAGCAAGTTTCTTAATTTCTCCGTGCCTCCATTTCCTCATCTGTAACGTGAGGATAATAGTACTCAACTCACAGGGTTACTTGTGTGTGGAAGGAGTTACTTTTTGGTAAAGTATGAAAAACTCCACAGTGCATGCTCCGTACATGTTAGCTCTCATGATGATGGTGCTAGAACCCTTTCTTACGTATGTATGAGCTTTATTGAGATGTACTTCACATATCACAGAATCACCGTTTAAAGTATACAGTCCAGGAGTGTTTAGTATACTCACAGAGGTGTGTAGCCATCAATTAAATTTCATCACCTCATGAAGAAACTGAACCCGTTAGTTACCACCTTCCTACTCTCCTACCCCCTAATCTCCCTCTGCCCTTACAGATTTACCTATTCTGGACATTTCCTCCAGAATGGCATCATCTAATACGTGGCCTTTTATGACTGGCTTTTTCATAACAATATTTCTGAGGTTCATCCATGTTGTAGTACATAGAGCTTCATTCCTTTTTATGGCTGAATAGTATTCCACTGTGTAGAAACACCACCTTTTTTATCCATCGGTGGATGGGCATTTGGATTGTCTTCACCTTTGGCTATTACGAATAATGCTTTTCTGATAGCCCTCTTTTATAAAAACATTTTTAAAAAATTATGTATGGCTCTGACCGGTTTGACTCAGTGGATAGAGTGTTGGCCTGCGGACTCAGGGGTCCCAGGTTCGATTTCAGACAAGGGCATGTACCTTGGTTGCGGGCACATCCCCAGTAGGAGGTGTGCAGGAGGCAGCTGATTGGTGTTTCTCTCTCATCGATGTTTCTATCCCTCTCCCTTCCTCTCTGTAAAAAATTGATAAAATGTATTTGTTTTTTAATTATGTGTGTTTCAAAAGTGATAGATAATGCCGGGCATGTAATAAGGACTCACTACAGTCCCGGGAGTGGTGCCATTATCCTCACTTTCTTTATAAAGAAACAGCCTCAGAGAGGTTAAGGTCCTTACACGGCTAGGAGGCCACCTCCGAGCCGACCTCCAGCCATGGGAGGTTGGTGAAGATGGGCACGGGAGTCACCCTCTGCTTCTCTCCTCCCTGTGCCCAGCACCCGGTCCGCCCTCTGCTGCCCTCGGCCCCTTCTTTCCCCCCAGGCGTCCAGAGTGTAGAGGTGCAGTTGGAGAACCAGATGGTCCTGGTGCAGACCACCCTGCCCAGCCAGGAGGTGCAGGCCCTCTTAGAAGGAACGGGGCGGCAGGCGGTACTCAAGGGCATGGGCACTGGCCTATTGCGTGAGTAACTACTGTGACCTTGGCCTTGCCTCTCCGGGAGGGAGGCGGCCAGGGGCTGGTATAAATCTAACCGCAGGGTGTTGTGGCTGTGGGTCGGAGAGACTTTGGAGAAGGTGTGAGAGTTATGTGGGGCTCTCTCCGTGCCCTTCCCCAGCTGATGAAGAGGTGGGTCTGGGTGAGGTGGCAAACCAACCAGGTGTCTAATACCTTGCAGAGAATCTGGGGGCAGCAGTGGCCATTCTAGGGGGCCCTGGCCCTGTGCAGGGGGTGGTGCGCTTCCTACAGCTGACCCCTGAGCGCTGCCTCATTGAGGGAACCATTGATGGCCTAGAGCCTGGGCCACACGGACTCCATGTGCATCAGTTCGGAGACCTCACAAGGCACTGCCACAGGTAAGTTGTCCGTAACCTCCCTTGCAGCATCCTTATCCCCCCAGTTGTGTACTCACTATGTGCAGGGGGCTATATCCAGCCCTTTACACACACTTTCACACTTGGTCCTCAGAAGTACTCTGTGAGGTATATGCACACAGGCCCATTCTACAGATGAGGAAACTGAGGCTCAAAGAGGTTAAATGCTTTGTCAAAGGCCCCAGAGCATGTAAATAGCAGAGTGGGGATTTAAACCAAAATCTGACCCTGGTGGTCCTGCTCATAGCTGCCTTACTGTCGCTAAGACGGAAGGGGATTCCTGGACACGAATCATGTGTCATGGTGTTTGTCATACTATTAGTTGTTTACTCATTTGTGTCTCCCTTAGGGGCTTATTGAGGGCAGGACCAATGTTCGATTCTTCTTTGTACCCTTAACCCAAAGCCTGGCATAGAGTGAGCCTGTTTGTTGAATGAATGCATGCATGCATAAATGGATGAATGAATGAAGGAACGAACGATAGAAAGAAACAAATGCAGTTAAAATAAGAGGATGGATCATCTGGCCTGTGAGCCGCTGTCTCACTGCCTACCTGCTACCTTTTCTTTTAGCTGTGGGGACCACTTTAACCCTGACGGAACATCTCACGGGGGCCCTCAGGACGCTGAACGGGTGAGTGTCCAGCTCCGTGAGGCTTAGACTGAGACAGCCCACGGTCTGCAGAGACGGCCAAGCAGCCCTTGGGGCCTCTGAGTGAGGTTCCTTGTTGGTGGGGGTCTTTTCCCTTACTTTGTTCCCGTTAGGAGCTTTTATTGCCCTTTCTGTCAATGGCGGGGCGACCACTGAGCTGCTCTGGTCGCAGCCCGGTGAGAATCCAATCTGGAGGCCCCCAGGAGCCCAGAGCCAGCCCCTGGCACAGCCCTAGGGGGTGTGAGTAGTGGGAAAGCTTCCTGGGGAGGTGACCGCGTAGAAGTTGAAGGTTTTACCTAAACTGAGCAGCCATTCCCCAATGCTGTGTCCGTGTTTCCCCGCCTTCTTTCTACCGTAAAAGCCCCAAGACGGATGTAGCCAAAGAGCCAGGTGTCGTCTGTCTGGGAAACAAGATAAGGAGAAATGGCTCTCCCCGCTGCTTGTCAAACCCGTCTTATGGTGACATGCTTTGCCTCCCACAGAGGCATAGGCACTTGCTTCTGCCCAGGTGTCAGGCTGGGGACGGTTTATTTGCACAGATGTGAGTCCCTGCGGCTCATCAGCAGGTCATGTCACCAGAACACACACTGTTGCCCTAGCCCTGTGTGTGTGTCACAGTCACTCGTCTGTTCCACATCGGGCTCCCACTGAGCTGCGAACCCTTGAGGGTGGTGCCTGCCTGTGCACCCCCATGCCTGGCAGCGGGTGTCTGGTTTAGGAGATGCCCGTAGATGTGTTACATCTCCGTTACCTTCCTGGGGAGAGCCTGGACAGGCCTTTGCCCTGGGTTCCTTCCCGCTGCTCCCGGAGGCTGGACGTCAGAGAAAGGATGCTGGCTGCCCCTAAGGGCCAAGGAGCCAAGCATGGCCAGCTTAAGCCCAGAGGAGCTGCGGGCTGCCAAGGGCTCAGAGTCATCGGGAGGCTGGAGGACTGGGCTTGGAAAGAAGCAGGAAGGGGGTTAGCTTCCGAGGCCAGGAGGCAAGGCTGGCAGCGGCCTCGTAGGTCCAGGGGTCATGGCTTCCTAGGAAGGGGTCCCCGGCCGTTCTCAGGGTGCCCTCACCCTGCCCAGGATTTCGGTCCCAGGGGAGGAAGCCTCCGGTTGGCTTCCTTGTGTCCTGGGCCATCACTTCATCCTCCCCGACCGTACTCCAGGGGGACTCTGGTCCTTTGGGGAGTCAGATCCCGGGAAGCCGGAGCCTCGCAGCTGGGCTCCATGTGCGCTTCCCCCCGGACTCATTGCAGCATCGGGGGGACCTGGGGAACGTCCACGCTGACGCTGATGGCCAAGCCGTCTTCAGGATGGAGGATGGGCAGCTGAAGGTGAGCTGGAGGCAAAGGGGGGGCCTTTCCTCACAGGTGGGTGCACTGTCTGACACCATTTGTTGTCCCCCTCAAAGGTATGGGATGTGATTGGCCGAAGCCTGGTCATCGATGAGGGAGAAGACGACCTGGGCCGGGGCGGCCATCCCTTATCGAAGATCACAGGGAACTCGGGGGAGAGGTGGGTCATGCCGCCGGGCAGGAGGCTGAGCTCTGCCAGCCATGCACTCGGACCCCGCAAGCGGCCCGGACAGTGCCCGCTCTGACCACACCTTCTCCTGCAGGTTAGCCTGTGGCATCATCGCTCGCTCCGCCGGCCTCTTCCAGAACCCCAAGCAGATCTGCGCCTGCGACGGCCTCACCATCTGGGAGGAGCGCGGCCGGCCCATTGCTGGCAAGGGACGGAAGGAACCGCCCCAGCCCCCTGCCCACCTCTGAGCGGGGCCTCAGCCTCAGCCTCAGGTCCGCCGTCCTCCCAGCCGGTGCCCTCCTCCTCCTCCTCCAGTCCGAGAGTGAGGGCGCGGGGTGTGCAGGGGTCGCTGTGACGTTCCCTCGGCGAAGTAAAGTCTTCCGGTTCCCATGGAGCTCTGTTTTGTCCGTGTCCCGTGTCCCATGGGCGTGGGGAACACAGCCCCTCTGGGCCTGCCCGCCCCTCCAAGGGCCAGCGCTGGGTTTTGGAGCCAAACAAAGCTGGATTTAAATCCACAGCCTCCTGAGGCCGCTGCCTCCTCAGGAGCACTGAAGGACCACAGCAGTCACATTGCTGCTTGTGCCTGTCTCCCTCCGCTCCCCGTGGCCGGTGGAACCCAGTGTGGACAGCTACCTCCGGACTTGGGGGTCAAGAGATACTCCTGCATCCTCCCAACGCATCCCCCCTTTTAAAAAAGTCATCTGTCTTGAATGATTTCTTTACTCACCAGAGGAAGACTCTAAATTAATCTAATCAGTGCTTGGTACAGGGCCTGGCACAGGGAAAGTTAAAGGAGCAGTGGCCGTGATTCTGAGACCAAATGGGGCCCTGGAGGCAGCCCCAGTCAAGCTCCTCTCACAGAGGTGGCCAAGGGTTAGTGTTGGGGCCAGGGATTCTGGTCCTCCCACTCATCTGCTTTGCTGCCCACTCCTACCCCCCACTGGGCTGTGTCAGGCTTGCTCATCCGTGACAACATGGCTTCTATGGCATGTGGGCTGTCAGAGTCACACTTTGCCCTTGCCCTGCCTGCATGGAACCAGGCGGGTGGTTTTGGGATTTAGCTGGCCTTGCCCTGGGTGTGCCTGGCTCCACTCCCATTCCAGGCCCTGGAGGCTGCTGCCGTGCCTCTGGCCCAGCCCGTACCCTGCTCCTCCTTGCCTCACCTCTCTGGTTGCTTTCCAGCTCCCCTTGTTTCTTGGGGAACCAAATCCTTTTAATCCTGGGCCCCGGCTGTCTCTCCACGTCCGCCTCATTGCAAGAACGCCTCTTGGACTCCGACCGCCATTCACTTCCTGCTGGAAGTCTGACTGGGCTTAACCCTTTTATGGCTAAACTGCTCACCATCCTCTGCTGTGTTTCCGCCCTGAAGAATCAACATCCCCACTGGCTTTTCTTTCTTCTAAACTCTCAGCTGTATAGTTTACAAACGCTGTTTTTAATCACAGCACACTGCCCACACATCTTGAAGGCCCATCTATAAAGCGGATGTGGACCATCCTGGGGTTCTGGAGAGCAGAGTTTGAAAATCTTTGCCAAATTCAGACATTTTTGTGTTAGCTCTCAACTTCTGCCATGTCCATAAACCATCTGTCCTTCCAAACACTAAACCTACTTAAAAAGGAAATTGTAATCCTGTTTACTAATAATACTGAACCTATATCGTGTTATTAAGTGCCAGTCTCTGTGTGAAGCACTTTATGTGCAGTAATTACTTTAATCCTCATGACAATACTACAAAGGAGGTTCTGTTATTATCCCGTGTGACAGATGAGGAGACTGAAGCACAGAGGTGGTTATGGGACTTGCCCTAAGACACACAGTCACATGGCCCTATGCTCTTACCCACTATATTAGTTCTCGTTGTCAAGTATGGAAAGCAAGGTTCATTAGTCATAAACAAGTTTGCTAGAAGAAGAGCACACATAGCCATTAAAATAAAAATCGTTTAGCCAGGAACTGCCACAAACTGTGTATAAACTGAGCAGTTTTGCCCTGCAATTTAGGGAACCCAGCCCATTTTTTTGCCCCCTGTTCTCTCAGCTGCCATGTATCACCTCTGCCTCAGCTGTGTTCTCAGGGGGCCCGCCTCCTCGTCCTCCGGTCTCCGGACCTACCGTCTCTTCTGCCCTCTTCTCCCTGAGCTCACCTCGGCGTTCCATTCTGAGTTCTGCCCAGGATTCCGCATTGTGGGCGTGCAGAGTTGTGGACACTAAAAGAACCTTCTGTTGTCTGCAGCTGAATTCTGGCAGAGGGGCCGACTGGCGTCCTCTTCAGAGCGATGGCAGAGCCTCTTCTCAGGATTCCCGGCTGGCTGTTTCCACTCCGAGTGCTCTCAGGTGGGCACCCTTGTGCTCCCTGGATCAGCAGCCTGCGTGTCACCTGGAAATGTTTGGGATGCAAATTCTGGGGCTTTCACTCCAGATTTACTGAATCAGAAACTATATTTTTAAAGAAATAGCCGAAACTGGTTTGGCTCAGTGGTAGAGCATCGGTCTGCGGACTGAAAGGTCCCAGGTTCGATTCTGGTCAGGGGCATGTACATTGGTTGCGGGCACATCCCCAGTAGGGGGTGTGCAGGAGGCAGCTGGTCGATGTTTCTCTCTCATTGACGTTTCTAGCTCTCTATCTCTCTCCCTTCCTCTCTGTAAAATAAAAAGAAAGAAAAAAAAAAGAAAGAAAAAAAAGAATTTAAAAAAGAAAAGGAAACTGTGTGCTCGCTGTCCAGTGTTCTCAGTGGTTAGAGCATTGGAACGGTCTCGGGTTTGAGTTCCAGCCAAGGGCATGTACCTGGGTTGCAGGTTCGATCCCCGTACCCATGCTCCTCCCCGCATTGGGGCACATTGGGGAGGCAACCAATCGATGTGTCTCTCTCATATCTATGTTTCTCTCACTCTCCCTCCCTCCTTCCCTTTCATTCTCTAAAAATCAATGGAAAAAAATATCCTCAGGTGAGGATTAACAAAATAAATAAATAAATTACACTTACAGTGTTGTTGTTGTTTTTTGTTAAATAGAAACTGTGTGGGTGAAGCCTAGAAATCTGTCTTAATAGGCTGCCAGGTGATTTTGAAGCACACTAAATATTGAGAACTAGTCTCCACTTTTTACTAAGCTGAGGGCTGCCCTGGCCAAGTGGCTCAGTTGGTTGAAATGTCTCCCAGTGCACCAAAAAAAAAAAAAGTAAGTAAAGGTGCAGGTTCTGTCCCGGGTCAGGGGGAGAGGGGAGGCAACTAATTGATGTTTCTATCTCATATTGGTGTTTATCTCTCTCTTCATCCCTTCCTCTCTCTCTAAAAATCAATAAAACACATCCTCAGATGAGGGTTAAAAATAAAAACACAATATTTTAAAAATAAAAATAAGTAAAACAAACAAATAAATAAAAGCCCAGGCCTCAGTATCCTCTCTGAGTTGTCATAGCGGCGTGTCTGACTGCTGCTCCTATCCTGGCGTCGGAGTAGAGATCTGGACCATCCTCCAGCTCCTAAGACTTACCCTGTAAGTTAAATACATGTGGGCGTACACTGACTTAGAGCATCTTAGTCAGGGATGGAGAGAAGATTAAACCTAGAAACCTAAGTAAGAGAAGCATCATAACAGAGAGCTCGCTTTCAGGCAAACAGAAAAATGCTCTGAATTCCTGGGGTCTGATTGTCTAATAATACCCCAATCAATTTCAGCAGGAAAGAATCCTGTCGCGCAGAAACCAGTTTGGCTCAATGGATAGAGCGTCGGCTTGGGGACTGAAAGGTCCTGGGTTCGATTCCGGTCAAGGGCATGTACCTTGGTTGCGGGCACATCCCCAGTAGGGGGTGTGCAAGAGGCAGCTGATCGATAACTCTCTCATCGATGTTTCTAACTCTATCTCTCTCCCTTCCTCTCTGTACAAAATCAATAAAAAAGAAAAAGAAAAAAAAGAATCCTGTCATCATGTTTATGGTGTACATTAGTGGTATCAGTGCACTGAAAAGACTATTAGCAATTGCTTTGTTTATTTAAAAAATATATGTTTATTGATTTCAGAGAGGAAGGGATAGGGAGACATAGAAACATCAATGATGAAAGAGAATAGTTGATCAGCTGCCTCCTGCACGCCCCCTACTGGGGATGGAGCCCACAACCTGGGCCTATGCCCTGACCAGGAATCGGACTTACTACAGTTTAAAGTTTCGATATTACCAGAATAGTTCCCAAGAATGATGTAGAGTTCACACTATCATTAGCAATGTGTGAATGTATTTTCCTCACACCTTACCAGCAATAGATTTAAATCTAATATTTTTGCAAATCTGAGGGCTGAAAAATGTCGCATTTTTTTTCAGGAAATTGCACTCCCCTGACTACCTATGGAGTTCCTTTTTTATCGGCCATTTGTACTTATTATTTTTTTAATTCAAGTATTGTATGCCTCATTTGCACTTCTTTTTCCAGTTCATATCCTTGGCTCATTTATTTCATCTTTTTTCCATATAAATTTGTGGTGTTTTTGTACAGTTGCCCTGAATTGTAGATACATATCTAATTGCCATTCGTATCTCCACTTGGATCTTAAACTTATCATGTCCCAAACGGAATTTCTGGTCTTCCACAGAAAATCTATTCCTTCTGTAAAATTACTCATCTTAGTTAATGCTTCCAGTGGCTCAGTGTCATCTTTGATTCCTCTTTCACAATTTACATCCAATCACAGCTCTACAGTCCAATCTGACCACTTCCCTTGAATTCTATTGGGCCACCTTGATCCATGTCACCATCATCTCTCTCCTGTATTTTTTATTTTTTGGAGAGAGTGGAAGAGAGGGAAACACAGACAGAAACATCGATGTGATAAAAACACATCAATTTGTTGACTTCTGCAGGCACCCTACTCAGGGCCCAGGCCTGGGAGGAGGCTGCAACTGAGGTTCATGCCCTTGAGCAGAATCGAACCTGGGACCCTTCAGTCCTCAGGCTGATGCTCTATCCACTGAGCCAAACTGTATTTTAGCAGTAGTGGTAATTTTTTTTCCCTGAGAAAACTGTTTTCTCTCTGTTTTTGTCCATTCCTATATCGCTTCTCGGCCTTTTGGCTAAGATCAAGTGTAGTAGATACTTATCAGTTTAATTATATGACAGATTCTTATCAGTTTAATTACATGACACATCCTCTGAGGACATGTTAAATGTATTTTTGGAATAGGAAGATGGCATAGGAGCTTGCTCTGTCCACTCCATGCATGGATCTAGTATTGCAGTACCTCTGGGAATGGTGCACAAAAAAAAAAAAAAAAGAAAAAAAAGTCAATGAAAGAAAAGTCTTATCAAATGAACCCCCTCTGTCCTATGTTCGCCATAGACCTCCAGCCTTACCAAGAGTGAAAGCCAGTGATTTCAATGGTCTACAAGGTGTTACACCTCCTGCCCCTCCTCCTATCCTTATGTCCTATTATTCACTCAACTTCTCACTCCCAGCCATACCAGTTTCCTGCAGTTCCTTTAACAGGCTTTGTGACTGGTACTTTCTGACCGGAATGGTTCCTCTTTTTGGCTTACCTGCTCCTTCAGTGGCTTTACAAATCTCTAGCACTATTCAACAAATTATATGTTTTATTGTTAATGTCTTCTCACTCTAATATAAGCACCAAGGTGGGCATTTTTGTTACTTTTTGTTCACTGCTCTATTCTTGGTGCTGCCCACGTGGTATATAATAAAACTTGTAGAATGAATATGTAGGCAAACATTTCCCTGAGTTTGTTACATGGATTTGTTTTATGTCTTCTGCCATGCAAAATCTTTATTTATATACATCCGTCAGTTTTGAAAAAATTCCTTTTATTTTTTTTTAAAGGCTCAACTTTTGCTGCCTCAAGGACCACGCTTTTGACCTAATTTTTTACTTTATTAAACATTTCAAACATCCCCAAGGCTACATCTCATTAACCCTCGCTCGCCAATTCCTTTAAGGCAGAGACGTGCTTTTATTTTCCCCGTCTCCAGAGTCTGCCAGTAACCTCAGAGGATGTGTTTCTAAAGAATGATCGCTTGGTACGAGGGCTCCTCCCCGGGCAGCGGCCCCTCAGATCCCCCCCAGATCGCCCTGCCCAGGCCCGGAGGCGGTGGTTCCGGAAGCCGAGAAGGCGTCGGTTTGTCCGGGCTTTTCCTGCCAGGCCAGGCCTTCCCGCGGACACGTTTTCCGCCACCTCAAGCGCGGGTCTGGCCTGAGCGGCCAGAACGGGAGACGCTCTGACTTCCGACTGGACCCAGTTTTCCCTCGGGGCCTGGGGATCCCGGCTCCACCCGGGGCGGGGGCGGCCGCCGGGACTAGGCCGCTCGGCTGCCGGCGCTCGCGTACCCACTCCTCCAGCCCGCCTCTCCCCCTCCCCTCGGCGGTGGCGGTTGGTCGCGCGCCGCCGTCCTGCTCCCGCCCCTCCGTTAACGAGCGGGCGCTAGGCCCTCTGGGATTGGCTGCGTCTGTGTACAATCTTCCTTCGGCCCTCTGATTGGCTGCAGGGCGCGAGGAATGCGAGCCCTGATTGGCTAAATCGGGGCGCCTGCGCGGCGGGGTTCTCAGTCGCCAGCCATTCCTGGGAGGACAGCCGGCCGGCCGGACGTCTCGCTAGTCGCTTGCGGAGAGGCCCCGGCTCTCCGGGAAGGCGGCTGCGGCGGCGCCATGAAGATATTCGTGGGGAACGTCGATGGAGCGGATACGACGCCGGAGGAGCTGGCAGCCCTCTTCGCGCCCTACGGCACCGTCATGAGCTGCGCCGTCATGAAGCAGTTCGCCTTCGTGCACATGCGCGAGAACGCGGGCGCGCTGCGCGCCATCGAGGCCCTGCATGGCCACGAGCTGCGGCCTGGGCGCGCGCTCTTGGTGGAGATGTCGCGCCCACGGCCCCTTAACACTTGGAAGATTTTCGTGGGCAATGTGTCG